CTGTACTACCTTCTACGATTGGAGCCATTTACTTCTCTTCACCGGAATTTGCAAGTAAGAGTTATTCATGTTATGCTCCTCTTGAACATTTCCTGATGCGTAATATGTTATATTTCTAAATGGCAATTTCAGTGCAAACCTGTGTCACAACTCTGATTTTAGCAAGCAACTTTATTCTCGACACTAATTTGAATGGATATCTATCTGGGGATTCTTTGGATGAAATAAAAGATTTTTTAGAACTAGCTTGTTTTTGAAGAAGGAAACTTTAGTACGTGAATGATAGGCAAGGAGGACGAGGAGCTATTTCCTTTTTTCTTTGTTTTGTTTTGTTGTTTCTCTAAATATACTGAATATTGTTAGTTGGTATTCCTCAGGTCTAAAAAAACATGGAGAAAAGTTAAAGTTAAGATCCAATTACTGAGCATTTGGACTTCAGAGGAAACAAACTTAAATTTTTGGATTATGCATTTTCATTTTTGAAGTGATATAGTTAGATTTTGTGACCAAGATCAGGACATGCTGTCCTGACTATAAACTTACTCCTCTTTGTTTTCACAATTTAAAAGCAGTGTGGGGAATCCCTATTGGCAAGGGCATGGGTTCTTGTGGTATCACCCATCATGAGGTCTTGTGTTCAAATCTTTAATACCAGAAACCCTGATGTCTCTTGAGTTTGAGCCTTGAGGTGCGTGCAGGTGCCCCGATTATAGGGGTAAAAAGCTAAAAGGCTATCGATTCGGGTTATTAGGGAGGAAAAAAAACAAGCAGTGTGGTCGGGTTCTAGTGGACTCAGTTTAAATCATGAAATTGAATTTTGAAATAAAAGTATTGCTAGAGTGGTGTGGAGTCATTCAATTATTTTCTATTTTATTCTTTTTTTTTAACAAATAAATATTCACTTATGCTTTTGGTCAGGGTGGTAAATTTGATCATGCAGATCGTCTTTTTCAAAGCATTGAGGGGACATATCGAAATTGCTTATCCAATACAAGTGATGTGAAGGAATTGATACCTGAGTTCTTTTACATGCCAGAGTTTCTCAGCAATTCAAATTATTATCACTTGGGAGTTAAACAAGATGGTGAACCCATAGGTGATGTAGTCCTCCCTCCTTGGGCCAAGGTTTGTAACTTTCTCATGATTTTGAACATAGAATCTTTCTTGCTGTAATTGTTCATTGTCTGTCAATATAGATCTTTACATATTTTCTGAGTTGTAAAGTGAAAATACTCACTTGATCTGTTGCTTTTGCATCTTCATGCTAGTTTGCGCTGTTAGTAAAGTTCTTTCTAACAGTGAGCCTGGCATGTAAAAGCAACAGAGTGAACAATCCAACTTAAAACTGATTGGTTTTCTCTAGTTAGTTCCCCCGCTCCACATCTCGTATAGCTCAGGTACAAGAAAAGTTCATTCCAAAATAACAAATTGGATAGGTTGCCGGTTGCCGGTTGCCGGTTGCCTCTTGGTACTTGCTACTGACATCCATACTTGGTTGCTTTATATTTTGTGTGTGTTCATAGTTTTGTGTTTTCTTCCAATTTGAATTTGTTCTCTATAGAAAACTCCACTCCATTCTTTTTTGCAGGGGTCACCTGAAGTATTTATAAGTAAAAACAGGGAAGCACTCGAAAGTGAGTACGTTAGTTCGAATCTTCATCACTGGATAGATCTGGTGTTTGGTTACAAGCAGCGTGGAAAACCAGCAGTGGAGGTATTCTCATAAAATTAAGCTAAAACCTCTCGTTGAGACATTTTCCCATAACCTGTCATAATTAAATATAATGTATTGCAGAATGCAAACGTCTTTTATTATCTGACATATGAAGGTGCTGTTGACCTTGACACTATGGAAGATGATTTGCAAAGATCAGCCATTGAAGATCAAATTGCAAACTTTGGCCAAACACCAATTCAGATTTTTCGTAAAAGACACCCAAGAAGAGGGCCACCGATACCAATTGCACACCCCTTATGTTTTGCTCCTGGTTCAATTAACTTAACGTCCATCATTTCGTGTTCCACTCCTCCTCCATCAGCCATATTGCACATCAGTATGTTAGACACACATATTGTCCTTGTGAGCCAGGGGCTAGTTCTAACCGTTAAGATGTGGTTGACCACCCAGTTACAGTACGGTGGAAACTTTACATTCTCTGGGTCTCAGGTTGTTCTCAATTATCTATTAAGGTCGATAATGCTTATGTTATCTGTATGGTTGATTTTGTTGTAACCCACAAAACCTATTAACATTTTGCAGGAACCTTTTTTTGGAGTGGGTTCAGATATTCTTCCTCCTCGTAAAATTGGGAGCCCTCTAGCTGAAAATTTTGAACTTGGAGGACAATGCTTTGCTACCATGCAAACACCTTCTGAGAATTTTCTGGTTTCTTGTGGGAATTGGGATAATAGCTTTCATATTATTTCTATAACTGATGGCAGGTTGATGCAGAGCATCCGGCAACATAATGATGTGGTTAGCTGTGCAGCAGGTACCTCCATTGTATATTTTAGTTGTATGATGTCGTACGGGTTTGTTTTTGAGATCCTTCTCTAAACATTGCTATAGATGGAGACTAGTCTTAAGATTTAGTTCTTTTTGGAGGTAAAAGGTAATTATAAATAGGATGGTGAGAGAGATTTGAAGTGGGCATATTTAGGGTTAGATTTAAGAAAGAGAATTAAGCCTCGGTTGGGTCTATTATATGGCCTATGATTGTGAAAGTGAGCTTATGTTTGGTATGTGGATTGCAGTGACATCAGATGGAAGCATTCTTGCCACAGGAAGTTACGACACTACGGTTATGGTGTGGAAAGTTCTCCGTGGTTGGATCGCTGAAAAAAGAGTACGCAGCACACAATTGGAGCCACTTCGAAAAGACTATGTCATTGCAGAAAGTCCATTCCATGTTCTCTGTGGGCATGACGACATAATTACGTGTTTATATGTTAGTGTTGAGCTAGACATAGTTATCAGTGGATCCAAAGATGGGACTTGCATTTTTCATACTCTTCGCGAGGGAAGATACATACGATCTTTGCATCATCCATCTGGTTGTGGATTGTCGAAGCTCGTAGCTTCTCGGCATGGCAGAGTTGTGTTTTACGCAGATGATGATCTAAGTTTGCACCTCTATTCTATCAATGGTAAACATTTGGCTGCTTCTGAATCCAATGGCCGCCTCAACTGTGTTGAATTAAGTCAATGCGGCGAGTTTTTGGTCTGCGCTGGTGATCATGGGCAGATTGTTGTCCGCTCCATGAACTCGCTCGAGGTTATAACTAGGTACAACGGAATTGGAAAAGTAATCGTATCTTTAACAGTTACGGCTGAGGAATGTTTTCTTGCTGGAACAAAAGATGGAAGTCTTCTTGTATATTCCATTCAAAATCCTCAGCTACGAAAAATTAGCATTCCTCGAAATGCAAAATCTAAAGCTTCTGCTGTGGGATAGGACTCTCTCTCAAGAGTTGTGGAATTCCGACATACTGCATTATCGTGTCAGGTATGTGTTCTAAAATTGTCGATATTGCTATTGGAAATAGTTTCATTTGCTTTGCTAAAAAATATTTGCCATAATCACGTTTCTGCACTCTATAATTTTGTTTATTTGCAAGGAAATTAAAATTTTTAAAGGTCGGTTTAATAATCATCCATCCTCCAATATTGCATCTGTGACATTTTATGATGAACAAATGTTTCAATTTACAAAAAAATATACCTGTAATCTTGTTCGTCCATTATGTATATGTAAATTCTGCAGAACATTTTGCGGTAGCCCAGACTTATCAAAGTCATATCAATTGGAAAGCCCAGACCATGGAGATATCTACTCTTTCAAATTTTTGGGGTACTCCATTTCTGAGGATATGGAAGGATGTACATGCCGATAGCTCGAACAGCCTAACATATCCTAGCACATATTGCTTCAAATACGACATGGGATCTCAAGAAAATCCCAAGGCATTTTTTTTCTCTCTACACCATGAGATTCTACTTGATCTCTTATACAAATCTGATTATCTTCATTTTGGCGAAATGAATGTAGGCAGTGGAGCAGAAACTTGTATATAGTTGGTAGACAAGATGTCCATAATTAGTTGGCTGCACCTCAGGTTTACCTTTACTGTTTAAGGCCTCAAACTTCATGAATATCATCTTCACTGCCCCTTCTCTAACTCAGAGCAAGTGAAGATAACATCTTTTCAATAGGTTGAAGTTCTTCCCCTTTTTAGCTTCAGGCTTCAGCTCTTATTTAACTTAACTTGTTCATATTAATTTGTATATTTTACTTGTCCCATTGATTTAGCATTCTTAGATTAGCTGCTCGATATTGTGCTAATGATCGAGAAAAACTTCCTCGAGATTAGATAAGTTGTATCTGCCTGCAGTTCGAAGTTCTAAGTTTTCCTTACACATTCTGATAAGACTCTTGATTTCTTTCTTTCTCCTTTCCTTTCATTTTCTGACATTTTTACTTATAAGAGGTCATTCCTATGAGATTTTTTTGTTTGAGTTCAAGTTGTGGGGTGAAAATTCAAATCTTTGACCTTTTGATCGAATATATGTCTTAACTAATTAATTAAGCTATGTTGCCAGTATAAAGTAATTTATGAACTTTATCTCTATACAGTGATTGAAAGTGAGATGTTATCGGGGACATACTGCTTGCCGAAAATATGGAAAATGGGCTATGATAATGTCCAATTTAACGAGGCCAATGTGCAGTAATTTCATTGATAGTACTTGTTTGTAGGGTGATTTTTGGGAAATCAAGGAATTTATCACAGTAGCTTGCAATATTTCTAACCCAATAAGAGATGAATATAGATTTGATTTTTTCTGGACTTGAGAAATGAAATCTTAAAAGAGATGGAGGCGATTTGGGAGGAAAAAAGTAAGATAAACTCTTGAAGGCCTAATCCATGGAGACAGAATAAAACGAGAACGAACAAGAAAATTTTTAAAATAACAACATATACGATAAAAGTCACGAGTTTGAAGGATTACATGAACTTAAATGTTAGACGGTAGCTTCATCCTAGAAAAAATAGAAAGAAAAAAAAAGTGATAGATGATATAATTAAATTCAATAGCACTCGTTTGTAATGTAATTTAGGTAAAACTTTAAACAGTAGAAAAAGGAAAATAAAAAATAAAAAATCTACTTATTCCTATTTGCCCGAAGAAATTGCACAAACTCGTCCAGTTGACGCACGTTCTTATCTTCGTCTCCAAACAACCCCTTCATTTCCATGGCCTTCTCTCTCAACAACTCCCCTGAACTTGCCGCCATGGCCGACCTCACCGATTCCGCCACCGATTCGCGCCTGAACGATCCATCTCTCTCATTCCTCTCTATCTCAATTCCCACTTTCTTCTCCTCCAACAATCTCGCGTTCAATCCCTGATCGTTCACTACCGGAAACAGAATCATTACTCGCCCGAATCCCAGCCCCTCGATGATCGAGTTCCATCCACAGTGGCTCAAACACCCGCCGACCGAGTCGTGACTCAGTATCTTCACCTGCGGTACCCATCCCTCGTGAACCATTCCTCGCCCTCCGACTCGCTCCTTGAACCCGGCCGGTAACATTCCTGACTCGCTCCGATGTGAGGTTCTCAGTATCCACAGAAATGGAATCCCTGATTGTTCCAGTCCGAAGGCTAACTCAGTGACGTCATCTTGACTCAGTGTCGCCTCGGTCCCGAATGCAACGTAGAGAACCGAGTTCGAGCTCTGTTTGTCCAGCCATTCCCTGATATCGCCGCTTAATTCCTCCGTATCTTCCATTAATGGAGGCAGAAATCCTACCGGAATAACTGGCTTCTTGTAAAGCCTTGCGAGCAAATCGAACAATTCCGGCTCCAGTTCCGGGGAGCTTCTTATAGCCACAGCGACGCTCTCCTCAATCGCGGTGCCGAATCGAATTGTATCGGGCGTTCCCGATTCGTTGCCGGTTGCTCCATCTAGGGATTTTTTGATCTCGTGGTACCGGAATGCGATGTTCGATCCAGGAGGCATCCATTCCGGAACCTCCGTGAAGTCCTCGACAGTTGACCGGGAACCTCCGCATCCAATCAGGACCGACGGCGGGCCAATAAAAGCAAGAAACGCGGCGGTGAAGAGGCTGAAGAAAGCACACGATACACAGAGCTCCGCGGCGAGCGGCGGAAGCCAGTGAGAGGCGTAATCGTAGATGATCCAATCGGGATTGAGATCTCGAAGCAAAGCGGCCAAGGGAGACTCGAGAGAGTCGAATGCCTTCTTCAGTAGCTGCTGCTTGTTGTACGGCACGTCGGAGGAAGCCTCGGCGCCGTCGGGAAGACCGTCGACGTGCGGCAGAGGAACGGCGACGAGGTTGACGGCGGAGGAGAGGTGTGGGGGTATTTTGGGAATTCTACTGAGGTTTCTTGGGGTTGATACGAAGGAAACTGTGAGGCCCTTATGGGCCAAGCAAGTGGCCAGTCGAGCAAAAGGAATGAGATGGCCCAAGGCCAGCCATGGGAATACCACCACGTGCAAAACGCCGTCGTTTTCCATTGAAGCTCAAAGTCTGAAGAACAGCTACTTTGGTTTTCAGATTTCAGTATCTGAAAAATCAGTATACCCAACTTGAGGAAGAAAACGGTGAGGTTGAAGATAAAAGAAGATCTAGAAAAGTTGAATCTCCGTCTCCGTATAATAATATTTTAAAGAATCGGCGAATAATTGAGATTGAACTCTTTGACCAATATCCTTAACCGACCGACTTTTCAGACTTTTTTCTTAGTTTAATAATAATCGAGATTGGAACCTTATTTGAGAAACTTTCTTCAATTTTATCGGTGTCGACGAAAAATTCAAAATGTGTTGGTTATTCATTTTTTAAGATAAATGTCTTGGTCTTACCACGGTCTACCACTGTCAAGAGATCGAAATTCTTCTTTTCTTTGTATTAAAAAATAATAACAACATAATATAAGTATGTATTTTTAAATATAGCGAAAAATTTCAAAATTTTAGGAAACTATCTCTGATTCATATACGTTATAAATTAAACTCAAATACAATATAAAATACATTTAGATAAAAAAACTAAATGTAGGTAATATTTCTTGGTTAAGTTCTTTTCTATTTTACTTCCGCTTAAAATAATTATTATAGTTAAATATATGAAGATTTCTAGGAATTCAAACTCACAGCCCAGGTAAATAGGTTAGATTTTGGAAGATAATTCTCTAACTTAGTTTTTTTTTTTAATTGTCAAAGTGTAATATTAGTGTATTAATAGACAAACAACCCAAACTTTGTAACATCCTACAACTGTGGCAAAGGGTCAACGTCAAAATACCAAACATTTATGTGAAGCTCCCTTTTGCCTTTGCACTCAAAAGCCAATCTCTAGGGCGAATAAATCTTTGCACGTCTCCATTATCTTATGGAAAACACACGCTCCATATAAATTATCTATTTGAGACAATTCCTTCATAGATTATGACATTAAGTTTGATTCTTTTAAAGAAATTTTGAAGACTAAAATTTTACAATGAAATAAACTTAGAAGTTTCAAAAAATATTTAAACTTCAATTGTATTGGAAATTATAGATGATTTTATATTTAGTTTGAAATAATCTTCTTTCTTTATCCAAATTAATAAATAAATAAATATTAAAAAAAAACTCTCTTTGCTAAGGACTACTAACCATTTTAACCATCTGGATATTTAAGTAAATTTATACTGACAGAGTAGAAAATCCTAGAGCTTTACTTGAAAAATAAAAACCCTAGAGCGGCCATTACAGCCAGCAAGGATTGCCGCGAAGAGCACAGCAATCTCGTACTGCTCTCACGGCCGGCGACGGCGACGGCGGCTCCCTCTCTCAGGTTCTATGCTTTCAACATCTCTCTTCTTTCGCTCATCATTATTACTCTTACCGGCGGCGACAATTTTCATCTATGTTTCTGAATTTCTTTTGGTATCTCTGTTTGTTCGTGATTTATACTGTTACTTCGATATACAATGATATGAGATGGCATTACTATATTGTCAAGTTTCGGCGGATACCCTATTCTTCGAAACTTCAATATTGAAGTCCATCTTGTTCTTGAGGGGAGTTATTGGCGGTTATTGTTTCTACATCTTATAGTCTGTGGTTATGTCAGTTTGTATATTGGATTCGTTTTGTCAATGTTATTCTTTCTTAAGCATGAACTTTTCTTTTTTTTTTTTATTAAATGAAATTTGTTTCTGACGAAAAAGGTCCATTGTGTTAGGTTGCTTATTTGCGGAGCGTGAGTTGCTCGAAGGCCAAGCAGTGTTACTTTTAACGTACTCTGGTTAAACAAACGGAGTGCAGTGTGGAAATTTAGCAAGTTCTTAAGATGGACGAGAGTGGTAACATGCGTTCCGATGATAGATCGAACAAGTAAGTTTTTTTTTTTAAAAAATAATTTGTAATAGTAATGATATGATAATAATTTCTGATGTAAATTTAAGTTATGATGTTGGTAAAAAAAACTTTGAATGCTATATAACTGCTCCAATTTGGTCCAGTTGGCAATGGATTTTTTGAGGTGACATATGAATTATGTTGACCTTTTTTCATGATTACATTAATCTTACTCGTATATAACCAATCAATACTTCCAGAGAAGCTTCTCAACTATCTGCATTGCTGAAGGAAATGAAGGAAGGATTGGACACAGTCACCAATAAAGTACAGGCTCTAACTGCTAAGGTTAGAACATCTTCAATATCTTCTAGTTCCAGAAATCGAAGAGAACATTCTTTGATGTAAATCATAGTGTTTTTTTTTCTCCTCAATTTTAGATATGTCTATGTCAATTAAGGAAGAGATCTAGGTTATTATGCTGGCAGTGCTAATGACCCTGGAAGAAATATATCCACAAACATCAAATTAGAGTCTATATTTATTTTCACATGCTCATATTTGTTGGCGTTGGAGAGATTCTATTATCTGAAGTTTGCATGCAATTTAATCTTCGAGTGTTATGAAAGTTATAAACCAAAAGATTGATATTTTGTTGTTTTAATTTACTTACAAATATGGATAACTGTTAATATACATTTTGGGTAAAGTGCAATCTCTCAATAGTAGCTATCAAGTTGATTTTTCATACTTTACTATCTCTAGGGGTGCTCTCTGGTCAGGCTGTTTTTGTGTATGCCTTGTATATTTTTTCATTTTTCTATCGGTTTCTATTAAATTTTTTTGTACTATCTCATTTTAATTCAAAACTTTCACTCCTTTAATATGGTAATAAACCTCTGATTTACTAGATCGCAGTGTTTCCAAAGTGATGTTCTTACCTAATAAGAAATATTTTATTGTCTTTTCATATACTCGTTTCTTAGTACACTAGAATAAAGTCCCTCTTTGGCATGTTATATTGACATGCCATGAGTTAATAATTATGTCTATTTATGCAGTGTTTGTTATGTTATTTATAATTGACATTGTGTTAATTACCAACTTTACCTATCAATCTTTTGTTTATTATATCAATTGCAAGTTTTACAAAATGGTGAGGAGGGTTATTGTTGGCCGTATTGGAAGCTCTCAAGGTCTTAATAAATTCGAAAAGTTTTTTTTGTCTTACGATGGCAATTTATTTGCCTAAAATCTGCTATTCTCTCATTGGAAATTATATACCGAGTCTGATTATATGTTTGTGTTACTATGTTCTTTTTTTATAGTTAAATTATAGTATCTGATTTTAGAAACTGCAGTTCACTTTTAAGCGATTGTGTGCATATGTTGTCTTTGAACAAGCAAGACATCATGTTGTTTCAAGACTACACCTTATGCCTAAAAACTGCTGGTAGATCTTGTATATCACCTTTTCATGGATATCCTCATTGACTGATCCTTTGAGATCAGGAACTCCCACATCAGTAATTTTAACCTACTATTTTATATGACCTAAGCTGGGTATCTCGACCATAAATAATCATCATGGAAACCCCTGGCTGACAATAATAAGCCACCACTTTGTCAATAATACAAGCAAAGCCACATGAAAAATTGTCTTTGTTCCTCTCCCTTGTCTCGGAATTTGGGCAGAAGTATTTTATCATTTTTTAGCTACAAATACCTTTTTGTTGATGGCTTCATCCATGTCTTTCCTTGACGTCCTTCTCTTCCCCTCGTTTGTATTTCAGGTAAAATCAAACCAGCTCCCGACATCAGATGGGATAAGCTATCTTGATGCCAAATATTTATTACTTCTAAACTATTGCTCTTCACTTGTATACTATTTGCTCCGCAAAGCCAAGGGGTTCTCAGTTGAGGACCATCCTGTTGTCAGGAGTCTTGTGGAGATAAGATTATTTCTAGAAAAGGTTTGTTTCTTTTCCTCGATATTTGTAGACTTGCTTACCTGCATAAGACTTCTTCTAAGTAGTCCTGTCTTTTTGGTTGATACAGATTCGACCTATTGATAAGAAGCTCGAGTACCAGATTCAGAAGCTCACAAAAGTTTCTGTTGTTGGAAACGAGAATGCATTTGTGGCTGAAAAGGATTCAGCTACGCCTCAGGCTATGGATGATAGGTTAAAATATCGTCCAAACCCTGACATGCTTGTCGGTAAATCAGATGGGGCTACTGAGGTTAGGCATTTAGTTGAGGATCAAGTTTGAATAACTTTTTCATTCAATCTTGTTATGTGAAAGACTCATATATGGCTTTTGTTTTCTGAATTGAACTTTCAAATAGGATGGAGATGGTATATATCGTCCACCAAAGTTTGCCCCTACTTCTATGGAAGAAGATAAGGTTTCTAGGAAGGAAAGAAATTTCTTGAGAAAGGATAGAGAGACGCTCCTACGAGCTAGACAAAGTGATTATATTAGGGATATGATGGATGATATGGCTGGGAAGCCTGAGGAGGTTTGTTATAGACCTACTATCATACTATATGGGGTTTGTCTAAATATCCAACGTGTTAGGTCCTTAAAAGTTCTTTTTTCATGGTAAATACAGATCAAAGAATCTGTTGGAATGGAAAATCAAGAAGTTGCAAGATATGTGGCAAAAAGGGACGAACGTGAACGAAGAGAAGAGGAGCTTTTCACTCGTGCACCTCTTACAAAGATGGAGAAAAAGAAAGAAAAATACCTGAAGAAGTCGAGATATGGGTACAATGACCTACTCTCAATTTGACTTCTTTTCTGTCTTTGATCAAATCACCAGACTGTTAAAGCAGTTTAGCATCACACTAAATCTGATGACTGTTTTCTTAATTCCAGTCTTGACAATCTTAATTTTTATTTATAGGATGCGTGGTATAACTGACAGCTTCTATGACGAAATAAAAACCTTGCCCATGGAAGGTGCTGATCGTGAGCTACCGACAGGTTTTGGTAGAAGTAGCAGCGGAATGAGAAAACATAAGAAGCGCAAGGTCTGTCACAGGAGACTTTGATATCTGATTGAGAACTCATTTATTGCTTTTCTTTTTCCTTTTGTTTCTGAGAATGCATGGTAGAAGTTAGTTCTAGTTCGGAGCTCTTTCTCATAATTGTTCCATCCAGTGAAGAAACTTTTGCAGTTTCTGACACATATTTTCCTTTTGCAACACTAACTAGATACCGAGTTCTTCAATTTTAATGTGCATTCTCAACTTTATTCTTTGTCGGTATTAAGATTAAATGGAGAGGTCGTCATCTAAACTATTTAGAACAGGTAAGTAAACATTTTTTTTGGCCTTCTGCAGGGCAGGCATTGAAGTCCAGATGAGCATCAGGAAAATGGGAATGCTTCGGGACAAGTGTGTGTCGACATGAAAATCTTATTTTTGGGTAAAATTTATATTATCAAAGGGTTCTTTACTTGCTAATTAAAGTTAATATTAAATTACTATATTGTGTCATCTTCATTCTTAAAGATTCATTAAGGATTAGAAGTCCATGTTGGTTGGTACGATCAGGATCAGTGTGATATCAAACTGAACAAATGTCCAGGAACAGTTCTGACAGGTCTACATGTAAAGTCATCGTTCTCTCATAATCTTTGCCTTTTTCTTTTGTTGTATACTATTTTCCGGGAACAAAGGTTATTAGTGACAAGCGACAAATCAAGTATCCCAGATATTTTATCCAACTTTTTTTTCAATGTATTTTGTTCTTGAAATTGTTGACTTTCCATCAAGATGTTGACAGCTTGACATGATTCCTCAGGGTTCTGGATGACAAATTGTTGGCTGAAATTATGTTCATGTAGAACTGTTTTATGAAAAGAACTTGGTTACTGGTACTTAAAGGATGTATACTGAAAAGACATGTTTTTTGGTATGTACATGAATGATTTAAGACGTTTTTGGAGAATGTAATTGTCTCCCAAATTAAGCGAAAAGGAGATCACAACTACTTGAAAATAGGTATAATCTTGTTCATGATATCGATTAGAAGTAGAAACTTTAATCCTCATGGAGAAAAGGGTAGAGATAGTAGTACAAATTAAGACTAGAAAGTGATAATATTAGAACAGATACATCATGTTTTATTATCATTAAACTAAAAGGTTCGTATAATTGTCATGGAATCAGCCTCAGAAGCCAATTTACAGTCAAATGTAACGTCAATGTGCGAGAAACTAACTTTCTGCTGTTCAGATCGATGACTTTACAGAATCACGTTTGAATCTTTGCGACTTTCAAACAATGACATGGATTGCTATTTCTTCCTCGCAACAATTCCCCTTGTCCATCAGCAAATAATTATGCAAATTTTGTCTGAAAGCTCATCATTGTGAGAGTAACTTCGAGTCACATGCTACTATTTTAATTCTCCCAACATTCTCTTGGGAATCCTCGTTCTTAAATGTTGCATCCTGCAAAATGAAGGTCCAAACGTTGTCGCAGAATCGATAGGTGTGCAAATGTCCCTGTTGCAAAACAAACAGCAGGAGGACGACGAGGTTTAGATATCAACTGAAGAGTATGGGTTAGGGGGGCCTTGTGAAATAAATTCACTTTGTAAAATGAGGAAGGAAATAACAAACGGATTAGTCTTATGAAAGAAAAAAGAGAAATAAATTCTTAAACCTTGCTGTGTGATTGTGATTTCATCACTGCTCTCAAATAAAAACCATAATTCTTACACACAATCTCTGAACAATGAACTTACAAAATCCAACAGCACTTGGAAAAAAAGAAACTTGAAAGCTCGAATAAGGGAATTTCAGTTTGACATAAAAACATATGGTAAAACCTGAAATAACTGGAGCAACGCCCCTAATGGCAGATACTTTATCACAAGATTCCAAATCTACGAAAAAAATTCTAATACTGGAAACTATTTCAGGTATCAACAAAAAGAACAGAGACAGAAAGAGGCAAGTAACCTAATCTATTGGTATAAATCAAAAGTTCCATAAATGAAACTTTTAACTTACAAATACAAATGTTTTCATGCTGTAAATTGCACTGGGAGCAACCCCAAAAGATCACGAGAAAATATTCTACTTTGCATTCAACGTATAAACGTGTTACTGACGGAAACAATTTGGCTCCAGATTACTAAGATGAGCACTTCAGCAGAACAGAACAGGCAAGCAAAACAACCAATCCCTCTTATGAATGAAAACACATTTCAAGTTTATAATATTTTTTTGATGAAAAGTTCGTAATTTGACATTATCCACCAACTTAAATCTGTCATTCAAAGATATGTCGAATTCATAAGCAGGACAATTGGCAAATATACCTTGATAGACACCTTGCTTTTCACCTGTGATTCCAGAGCCTCAGTCATGGACTGCAAAAGCCAAAAGCGGTAAAAATTAAATAAAAAAAGACCTTCTAATTCTGAACACAAATCCAAAAATATACACATAAACACAGCTTCCAAACCAGGTCTGACTGTACCTTATCGAACTGGACAAGAACCTGAATAGCAAGCTCAGGACTAAGAGTACCATTCTGAACCATTTCGTCCAAAGTTTCAGTCAAACACATTCCGATCGTCGATCTGCGGTACAGTTCAAACGTCGCCATTCTGCTTCGAAAACAAGATCTGCTAAATACGTAAGTTCTTCGTCTAAGATATCAAAATCAGTCCAAAAACACACATCCGGAATCGACAAAACTAAAGAAAATTTTGGAACATAGCATCAGAATTCGAGAAAGCTGGCAAAATCTTCGAAATTAAAGCAAGAGATCAATTCGAAAAGGAATGTAAAAAAAAATAAAGAGAGAGTACAAGGAAGGAATTGAAGCTACAGATTGGTGGTGAGTTTGTGATGCTTCTGGTTTCTTGATTCTAACTGGGTTAACGTTAGCTCCAAAGCTTTTCGCGAGCGAAGAAATTTGGGGCTTTTTATACCCTAGATTTTGTAGATGAGGGTATATATAGCAGCGAAGCGACGGAATGGAAACACCAAGAAAATGACGAATTAGCCCCTGCTGAGGCGACTTTGTTCCTCATTTTGGGCTCTAAAGTTAATTGGGCCTGAAGCCTGTTTTACGTTTTGACTGCCCATTTTGTTAGCCGGCCCATTAAAACACTTCCAATTTGGCCTAATAAAGAAAATGTAGTGAGTCAAAAGAGTCATTTCCCGCCCGGAAGTACGAAGGAGCGAACAATTCCCGCGAAGAGCACAGTAATCTCACTATTGGTCTCGCCGGCGGAGAGATTCTCTCTGATTCTTCATTTGATCACCAAATCGTCAGTCGGAATCTTCAAGTTCGAGCCGGCGAAACTGGACTCTCTCTTCCTCGATTAACCTTCAGATGAAATAAAAATTCTCTCTCGTCGACTCTCTCTAGAGTCATTTTTAATTCTGATATCCATTGTGCTCTCACTCGTTTACCGAATCAATGGACGTATGAGGTTTTGAGATCGCAAATTTACTTTTTAATATTTGGTTCAATGTGCTGCTGCTGTTGTTGTTTCTTTTTCTTTTCTTTTTTTTTTTTGTATTTTGCATTTTTTTTTTCTCTTTTTGTGTTTTGTAGGCGATGATTCATGATTGCTAGGTATTCTGGAGATCAAAGTGGATTTGAGAAGGATTAGATGAAATTTTATTAAACCCTAGATCTTTGAGTTTTGACATCATTTTTGCTTGTTGAGTGCCCTGACCTGACTTATCTATCATAATTTTGGAACCACCTACACGATTGTGATCCTATAGATTATATATGAGATAGTTAGTTGATGAGAATTAGTTGTTACTTTCTCCATGAACACCTTTGCTCGTCTGCTTTTCAGGCGGCTGTAAATCTTTTAAATGACAAGGAGGATTATTTTAGAAGGGAAACGAGAAGGAATATGATATAGACCATCTACGTCTACTGATGTTGTATGCAGGAGAACCATGTCCAATTGATGCAGCATTTCGATAAATTGTGTTCTTGCTGCCGGGAAGATATAACGTTTTGGAAAGAAAATTTTCAAATTCATGTCGCGAAAAGGTTATAGATAGGGAAGAGGGAATACGAAATTGGTTTTCCGAAATTTTCCAATATTTCATGTTCGGAAGAATGAACGGCGAGCGTCCTCCGATTAGGGTTTTCGGCCAGCGATCAATTTCATCGTCTTTCCTCTCGGGATCTTCAAATCCTTTCAAGAGTTCGAGTGAAGGTTCACAAAGGAAATCTTCGAAGGGCTCGCAGTTGTCGCTCTCGGACTTCCTCGATCAGAAATTGCCGGAAACTTCCGTACCACAGAGGACGGTGAAGGGGAAGTCCTCGCCCTTCGCCTCATTGCAGGGTCCGAGGGATTCAAATAGCTCCATTAATAGACCAATTGGAAGCTATTGTGGAGCGGACACGGAGACAGAATCGGCCATTTCAAAGGTTATTTTTGAACAATTCAAGCGTCCTGAAACAAACCAAGGTGAATGTTTAGTTTCAGGTAGTGCAATTGAAACAGATATCTCCGATCCAGATGATATACTAGAATCGAGAAAAAGGAAGAAGTCAAATGAAGGTTTTTCCATCCCATGCAGTGAGAGCCAAAAGAGGAAGAAAAACGTAGTAGTTCTTGGAGGTGGCCCAAAACCCGAGCAAAAGGGGAAGGAGGCAATTCATATTAGAAACAGAAAACCAGGACCTCTCTATAATCACTATGCAAGTGGCTCTGGCTGGTGGGACTGCAACATGGAGGGTGTTGACAGCGAAGAGGTTGGCCTTGGTGAAGTTTGGGAGGGAGTTGGTTCTACCACACTTGGAGGAATAGAGTGGCATTGAGTTTTGGGGCTTCATCCTCTCTAACATGGAATACTGTATTTTGTCATGTTAGTTTTTGCTAATTATTAACTGTTTTTTATCTTCTTATGCTTAGATAAATTGGTTTCTTGTTAAGCCAAGCATGAAACAGGATATGTGTACATCTAACTGTCGTTTTTATCAAATTCGAACTTTCCCATTTCTATTTTATAGCTTTCAAGCATTTTAGACTGTTTTACGTAAGCCATATATTATAGATTATGCTATTCCATGATGTTTATCTTTTTAAGGGGTTAGAGTAAGATGGACATCATGGATTATCCAATAAAAATAAATTCTTCATGTGGGAGCTTAGCTACGAGAGTGTGAATACAAACGGAGGACGTGGGAAGAAGATTCTCCACCGTGGCACTCACCCCCTCTCGGTGCATCCTTTGCCTAGACAGTGTAGAAAGTATGGGTCATATTTTTCTTCACTGCCCCTTTGCCTTCAGCTTTTGGGTGTCTGCTCTCCTAGGAACGTCTTCCTTGAACATCTCTATGAAAGAGAAGGGAAAACCATATGACTGCAATTGATTAGGTCCATTTCTGGAATCTCTGGTTAGAGGAAACAATATAACTTTCGGTGGTACAATGCTTTGCTTTGTAGGCCTCTGATGGTGTAAATTGTATTCCACTTTTAGCAGCTCTAGCAATTGCGATCTTTTCACTAATGGAAGAACTTTTTGTAATGTTCTTTGGTTTGGAGCATATAGAATAAGAATACAGACCATTTGAGATTTAAATAATTATCGTCTACCTCTGTGTTTATTGGATATGGGTCTTTCGTTTTTTTTTTTTTTTAAGGTAGGATATCTGTCATTCTTTAAGACTATTATAGCAATGTAGTTAAAACTTCTCTGTTGTAGCTTTTACCAATTGAAAAGGTTTGTGCTTTTTCCAGATATGGATCATTTTCTGAGACTTCCGTGGCAATGTAGTTCAAACTTCTCTGTCCTAGCTAGGGGGTTAGACTTAAATTTTTTTTTTTCTCTTTTAAGAAACTTGTATATAACAAGAAGAAGGGAAAACAACGCAACGGCTGGAGTATAGGAAATCGCCTCCAAAAAGGCTTCAAAAAAGCTTTCTAATTGTTCATAAACATGGAGAGATTGTAGTTACAAAAGAATATGCTGTAATTAGGACACCACAAAAAAGTGTGCTGTACGTTTCTTCAAAAAAGTATCTTGATGTGCTCAACAAGCGAGAGGTGCCTTTTTTCTTTTTGTTGCTAATTTGATTGACTAAAGAAACTTGTGATTTTAATCTAGCTTCAGAAATTGGCATTGTAGACTTCTGGTTTGTGATTTGTCAAATTGTGATGATCTTTCATATATTGTGAAACCCCTGTCATTGGCATGATTTAGAGAGATGCATCATGTACTTTTCCCCTAGGTCATGAAATATTGTGCACCTCAATTCTATATATCGTTTGTGCGGTGATTGGTGAACTAAGCAGTGCCTCACTGGGACTTGTAGAAGATTTGATACTCGGTATTTTGGAACTATATTGGTGTGTTTAAAGATTTATTGTTCTGCTGTCTGAAGCTGCAGTAAGTTTTTAGAATAATAATTCTGTACAAGGCAGAATTAGAAACTAAAAAAGGCATTCGAATGGTTGCCTTGTAATTCCGTTTATATTCAAGCTAAAAGTATCCTTTTTCAAGCCTTTGATGTGTACTGCTTTAGGAAATAGATGATCGTCTTATCTACTTGTGTTTTCCTTTCCTACTTTTAATAGAATCATATGCACTATTATGATTGCAAAGAAACTTTTATTTAAATTTATGAATTTAACTCGGCTACTTTGTTATGAAGCCGACCAAAAGAAGTCATTTTCATTTTAGGTTGGGAGTGGGACAACATATGAGGAGCCACATGCTATTGCTTCACGAAATGCAACTACTCATGGACATTCGTTTTACTCTCGGTGGTTCTTATCTCTAAAGAGGTTAGCTAAACTATCGTATATGTTTTACATTGGATTTTTATTATTATTATTTCTATCTTTTTATAGGAAACAGAGAATATGTATTAGAGGTAATAAAAATAGCTTAAGAGCAGGGGATGAGCGTTCCTTCCCTAAAAGAGCTAGTGAATTACATCTTCCAATCTTGGTCGATCATTGTTAGACTGTAGTTACAAAAGAATCTCCTATAGTTTAAACACCACATAGATGTAGTAATTTTTATACTATTACGAAAAAATCTGCAAAGGACGAGAAGTGTTTTTTGAAGATACGAAAGTTCCTTTCTTTCCATAAACACCAGAAAAGGGCTCTCGCTGCGTTAGCTCCATATAATTTTGAGTTTTCCTTTGAAAGCCCACCCTTGTAACGCTTCAAAGAGCCAATCTCTAGTGCAGAAATCAACTTCCTTCGTCAGAAAATACCAACTTTTTTAGGCCATGAGCAATGTAGATAAAAATGGTCCAGGTTTTTTGTATTTCTAGTGCAGAAGTAGCAAACCGTTTGGGAGAGAGACCACTGCAGAAGCTTTTTCTGAAACTTTTCGTGCATGTTGAGGCTTCTATGGACTAAGCTCGACCACTTTTACTTTCTTTGGATAAAAAAATTTCCAGATCAGATTAATAAAGGGGGGATTTGAGCTTTATCTGTCAACTTGAGGAAAGTTGATTTAGTTGAAAAAGTCTTCCCACTGACAATGGACCAAAGGACATTGGTTTCTTGATTTATAAAATGAGTTAATATCTTGGTCGGATTTGTTCAGGCTTCGCTGTTTTTTGGATTAGGTTGCTATACAAATAGAATAGATTTGTGTCTATCCATTACCCTTAAATACTAATTATATCTAGAAGCTTCTTTTAAGTACATACACAAATGTCATAAAAGTATATAATAGTTATAGATTTATCTTGGAGATGGTAAATAAATATCCAAAAGAAAAAACTTTAGAAATATCCTATTAGTAATATTCTTTGAGCTCCAAGGAATTCGTTTAGATAAGAATAGATTTCTTAAGAAGTATCAAGGATATTTTAGATTCAAGAGGGGCTCAAAAAGATCTATTTACTTAGGCTCCAAAGATATTTTGTGTGTAAACAGGAGTGTCCATTTTTATACATGCTTAATAAAAGAGGCTTTAACCTTTCATCCAAGACATTAGAAATGGTCTTATAAACATAAGTACTAGACTAATAGAATTAAAATCTCCTGACACTGCTGCCTTTATTTAGAAAATTATGTTCTTACACTATTTCAATTTATTCTGTTTGAATGATGCATGCATGCCTAAGCAATAATTGAAAATATTCTGAATCTGTTTGTTGATCTTAATGTAGTTGTGAAAGTCAGGACATTATTTTTTAGTAGCACTTTTATAACTAAACTTCTGATGAAGTAAGTTGGATTCTCATGCCACAAAACTTTTTGGTCGGAAATAGATATTTTTAACCAATTGGGTTATGTAACTCTTTGACTTGATATTCTGAAAATAACAAACCAAATTTGTCAAATTCACTGAACCTGAACCTGGAAAAACCACTGTAATTACTCACTTGTGTTCCACATGTGTTATGCATATGTTTTTTTCTCTAATGGGTTTAAACACATTTGATAGAATGTTCATATATATTCACTTTAACACGATTGAATTTTACTCTTCGAATTCTATTCATCCGAAATAAACTATTCAGAATTGACTCAATTATTGAATTATTATTATTATTATTATTTTGAGTTCAACGACATCTAGAGTTTATAAATAAACGTTTAAAACTAAGATGATAATAAAAGAAATTTGGAATTATGAATGAAAAATTAAAGGGGGATATTTTAAGAATCTGTAGGGACTAGGGGTTATCAGATGGGGGGGCTTCGAGGCGGATATAATCATACATAACACCATTGAAAGAAGAACTGCTTATAATTTGCGAGAGGAAGATGGTGTTTTCTCCTTCTACAAGCAGAGATCCCGACATGTCGACACTGTACAGTCGATAAAGTCCATGAATTCCATGCCTAGCTATTGTATTGTCGTGCCCAATCTGTCCTGTCGTGAATACAGCTGGCTTTGCTTCTGGATCGTTTACCTGAATCTTTTAAAAAATAAAAGAAAAGAAATCACGTTTTTTTAATATATATAAATAATGTATAGTCAAAACATGTTTGAGATTTGACTTTTCACCCGTAGTGATATAATATTATTATTATTTTCTAATTACACCTTATTTTGAAATGTTCAGTTTTGTGGACAAGAAAAACATATGTTCTTTTTTTCACCCCAGGTGGACGGAAAGTGACCAATTTGATAAATCAAATGAATCTATGATTTTAAATGGTTCAACGATAATTGACAATGTCTATGACAAATAAGTCATGAGTTCGAGTCATCACCCCTATCACCCCCTTGTTGTACTAAAAGAAATTATTGATAATAGATGAAATGTATTTTTAATTTTATTTATTTTATTATTGAGTTCACGAAGAATCCATAGGACGAGGATTCAAACCTCCAATGATAATAATATTTTAATTAGCTAAGCTATGTTAACTACTGCTAATAGTTATATGTTATAAAAAATTTATTGTTGAATTTTTTTAGGCTACTTTTCCAATTTTAATTCTTAAATGTATTATATATGCAAATGTCTCATAAATTTAAGGGCGTAATAGGATGGGTACCTGTAATTCAGCAACATTGGCAGTAGCGAGAGCCACTCGCAACGTATAGGCGTCATTCTTATCTACGTTATCAACTGTAAACTTAATTTGCCACGTGGTGCTAAGATGTGAACCATCATTTCTCGTTCTGTCATTTAAAAAGGTAAAAAAAGAAAGAAATAACAGAAGAATTATAAGCATGATACATTTAAATTCATTACAGAAATAATAGGCTACACATACTTACCTATTAACATGAGCAAAAAACCAATCTTTTGTGTAGTCACTAACACCAACCGTATATACCAAGTCTGCATCAGGATACAATTCTGCATATCTTTCCCACAATCCATATTGCCTAAATCTGCTCAGCATAAATACAAAGTTATGAAGGTCACGTTATTATTTATCCATCGTATTCTTTTAAAATATTTTACTTCGATCACAACCTTTGGGAAGATGTAAAGGGAAAAAAAAAGGAACATATTATTCTGAGGATTATACTTCTACCATCACAGTTATATATATTAACATATTGGATGTCATATGATTATTAATTGTGAACATTTTTCTTACCTATCAGGATGATCGACGTACAATTTGTTGATATAATTTGGATCAGGATCAGGAACATAGAATTCAGCAGCAGATCGATCAGGAATGCCTATTTCCCACAATGTAGGCCCGTTCCTGGGCGGCTCATACACAAGATCACCCACGTCCATATCACTACCTGAAAGATCGAACATGAATAGAGTTACAAATGCTTGCTGAAAATCAATTCAGTTCTTGAATTATGAGCTTCATTTGGAGAAAGTGAACCAAGACCTGCGGAGATGCTAACGATGACGTCGTAACGATAATCGCCAATGAAACCGGGAACCCAAGCATAAAGGTTGTAGTCGCCGATGCGTGCATTTTCGATGCTAAACGAGCCATCTGCGTCTGTTTTGGTCCAAAACTGGTAACCCTGATCATGGTTTAAATAAATAACATCTCATTTTCTTTGCATTCAGCATTCATTATTTAGTATGTTGTTGAAAATTAATGATCAGTACCTTGTTTTCTGTCTGCCACGATCCAGCTTCTCCTGGTGCTGCCAGTCCCACATAAGCGTCGGTTGCTGGCGTTTGATCTTGGCTAACGTATCTAAATACAAGTGCAATGAATTGAAAATTGTTCAGTTCAAAACTTCACCAATCTAAAACATGTTTTAAGAGCCGTAACAATTAACTACTTTCCATTCGGATCAAATAATAGTTTGGTTAGAGTTTGGCATTTTTACTAATGAACAGAAAAGGCTGGCTATGAATACTTTTGATGGTGGGTCAACTTTTGTGTGGGTGTTTTTATGAATGATACCTGTCAAGGACAAACAATTTTCCAGTCAATCTACCACGTTGGTTTGGTGGGGGAAAATCCTCAGAAGCTGGAAAAGAATATGGCCAGCTTTGAACTTCCTTCGTCATCTGGGAAATAGTAATGCACAAGATAAATTCATAGGCATAGTTGTGAAAGAAACGACCATTTTCAGGATCTGAATTAAAATACATGATCCAACTTCTACCATTACGAGAAATTGTTAAGGTATTTATAAAAGATTAAATTTATCGTAACTCATCAACTTAAACTTCTTTGGTTGATTGGTGATTTAACATGGTATCAAAGCAGAATATCTTGTGTTTGAACCTTGTAATGTCATTTCCTCCCCATTTAATAGCGATTGTCACTTGTTGGGTCTTGTGCAAATTTTCAAGCCCACAAGTAAGGAATATTAAAGTATCTATAAAATATTGAATTTGCCATAATTCATCAACTTAAGTTTTTTGATTATGAGTGATTTAACACGAATGACAGGCACACAGAGTTATGATAAACAAACCTGAGTTTTAGCATCTTTCCACAAAGAAAGTGGGTCACCTCCATCAGTAACAGAATTTAGATATAGAAATACAGGGCCAAAAACTTTCTTCCACGGCTCATCAGGATTGAGTTTCAGCACCAAGTCCTCTCCTGAATAGTGAGCGCTGAGGAACATCTGAAATTGTGGCATTTTGGTTCAATTAATAATAATATGCACTAATATCTACAATTAACTTCAACTTATATCTTCAATTAACTTCAACTTGCTCATATACAAGAAATTATATATACTTACAGCAAGAGCATATGGTCCCACATGAGAAGTAAGGTTCTGTTTGAGAGGTCCACCTGATCTGAACTCACTGCTGGGAGTGATTTGCCAGAAACCCACTGCAGGATCCATGGATATCCATCCATGCACTTTAAGATCTTTATTTTCACAAGAATATTGGTACTTATCATCCACCTACTCACATCCACATGTTCCACTGATATCAGATTCTTACAAATTTAGCAGCAAAAGGTTTCAGCTTGGCCTACAAAGCTGTTTGTTTCAGTATGGACATTTTTCGTCGATTTAGTGTTATCCTAATCCGATAGCGTTTTATTTTCACATATATAAGGAAGATGAAAACTCCCAAATATGCATACCTTTGAACTCAACCTATTGTATTTGGCTTTCTAGATTTCGAAATCATTTTTACAAAGTAGGTAGTAAAATAAAAAAATACATGGATTAAAGTAATGTTTACCAGCTTAATTTTTAAAAACCGAAAAATTAAAAACAAAATAGTTATTAAACGAGACCTTAAAGTAACTGATTTCACAATAAAGAACAGAAAAATGCGAGTCCAGACAATGGAAAATCATGAAGAAGTATAAGAACCTCTCCCTTGAACTGAGGTTCTTTAGGATTGACTAGCTTTACAGCCTCTGGAAAGTCCAAGGTTTTGCCTCTGTGACGCAGTCTATCCTCAGGAAGTGGCATGAATCTCTGTCTGTTATCTGCTATTGCCATATAATGAAACCTAAATTACAATTAAAGAAAAAACTCACCATTAATTAATGATTCTCAGCAACAGACATATATTAAAAAGGAAGTAGAAATATAGGTCTTTTTACTTGTCTTTTCTTAGCTTGAACACAATCCTAGTTTGGGGAAGGTTGAATGGAGGCCATTCCTTCAAGTGCTCATAGATGGCATAGGAATAAAATCCAGAGGAATTACGAAGCATTATGAACCTGAAAGAGGAACTTCTATCAGTTTTTGTTTGTTTCATTTTTCTTTTTCAAGTTCATATTGATCATACACTTGACATAAAAACAAAAGCTTATTAGATTCATGATGCAGCTGCAGATTGCTGGCACCTTTTATCAATGTTTAAGGGAACGGCCTTATCCTTGAATGAATAATTCCTTTTAAATGAGAGCTCTATCTGTTCCTCATTTTGCACTATCACTTCAAATTCTTTTCCTTTCATCCTGAAAGCATTATAAATATCTTGATGCCATTTCAACAGAAAAGTTTCTTTAGGTAGAATCAGAAAGACCCCATCCAACTGTAATACTACAAAAATGAATAAATTGAATGCTCCGTTTGATAATAATTTTGTTTTTGGTTTTCTGATTTTGAAAATTAAGGTTGTAAACACTACTTTTTACCCATGTATTTCTTTGTTTTGCTACCTATTTTTTTTAAAACGTTTTCAAAATCTAAGTCAAATTTTGAAAACTAAAAAAAGTAATTTTCAAAAACTTGTTCTTGTTTTTTAAATTTGGCTAAGAATGCAAATATATTTTCAAGAAAGGTGAAAATATGCTTAGAAAATTGTGAGTGAACAAACATAATTTTCAAAAACAGAAAATGAAAAACGAAATGGTTATCAAACAAGGCCTTAATAACTATTTTTTTCTTGCATACTCATCGAACGTTCCCGTTGTTCCTCCAGTCCCCGAGTTCCACACAAGGTCCCAGTACCTGCATCATATACTGAATCAATCTGAGTAAACTTAAATTTTGGAATTAACTAGATGATCATAATTGGAGAAAGACAGAGAGGCTTGATATTAATAATTGAAATCATATACCCTCTATGATTTTCCTTATCATCAACTTCTAAAACATTATCAATGCTGTTGTATTTGATCCCAGTAACATTTCCATCTGGCTTGGACAGTGTCACTTGTAATATACCATTGTCCATAACTACCTGCAGCTCCCCACACATGCAAAGAACATCGTCTTGTCTCGTTAGTCAATTCAATTCATATTAAACCGCTGAAGGAAAGAATCGCGACTTACATGATGATTCTGAATGTTCAATTGGAGTATCGCACCTGCCATGTTGATGAAGCATAAACCTTGTCCTAGCCAATGATTTCCTGAACTTCCTTAGCAGAAGAGAGATACCATTTTATCTGCTCGGCTTACACTATTTCCTGGCTTTTATGAAATGACAGTATTCGCAGTTGGAAAACGAAACATTTATATTGTCTTCTTTTAACTAACTTTTTTATAATATCTTGTATTATACATTTCCTTTCAACTACGAATCTGGGAGTTGAAGGAAAGGATGAGAAGTTGCAAGACTTAAAAGATATTACTTGGTTGGATTTTTCTTGAACAAAAGATAAAGTGTCTTCTAATCTTTGCCCATCAGCACTAATAAAAGAGAGATGCAGGACAGACCACTACACATGCCACAAGCAAACGTTATACAAAAAAAGAATCATATGTAATGAATGATTTTTTAAGAGTGCTTTTTAAAGATACATGAACATGAATATAGTGTGGCTGACATCCACACGTATTTTCAACTTATAATCCTTCACAAAGGATTCTAAAAACAAATATACTTCCTGATTGGGCCCTCGCTCTGTTTTAAAAGCTTATATTTTGAGCAATCTATTTCCATCTCAATCTTGAAAATAACAAGCCGAGGTAGGTGCCAATCTCTACTTGGTGGAACTAATAGGATATAGTGACCCTTTTTTAGTACAATATGTGAGGGTGGGAATTCAAACTCACGACCTTCAGGTCGGAGATAGGTGTCTTAACCAGTTAAGCTATGCTAGTTGGTGCTAGTGGCCCTCTTTAAACTTTTTTTCTTCTTTTTTTTAAATACGTGACCCTCTTTTTTTTTAGTACAACATGTGGGGTGGAAGATCGAACTCACAACTGAACTATGCTCGCTTTGGCCTTCTTTGAGCTCTATAAACATTAGATAGTCAACACATATATACATCCAATGATATTCATAGTGAAATAAATGAAATTTACCTATATTGGTAAATATTGTGTCTTGTGATGTCTTAATTGTTGCTTTAACACAAACTAATCATTCATACACAATTCAATATATAGGTAAACTCTGAGAATTTGACGGGAAAGGAAAATTATTTTCCAGTAGTTCTAAAGAACAAAAATTTCTCTGGTAGTAATTAAAATGGATGTAGTACATTTGGGGTAGACCACTATTAACTCTTGCATATATCTTTTATTATATAGTTATCGGTCTAGGATTAGGGCATTTATTGGCCTCACTGTCCTACCAATAAAAGCACATAGAGTAGAGAATTCCTTTGCCAGATAAAAGGAGAATTTCATTGAATGAATCTGTGAAAGTTCAATCGAATTATTTACATTTTGGAAGTTAAGGGTCCTTCCAAACGAAGATAATCATACATAATTCCCACAAAAGGGCTGTTGCTATTTATTTGTGTAAGAAGAATTGTATTGTTGCCAACCACAAGCTCACAGCCCGGAATGTCAACAGTGTACAGCCGATAGAGACCATGAATTCCATGTCTAGCTATGGTGTTGTCCTTCCCAATCAATCCAGTTGTGAATAATGGGGGAAGTGCGTGTGCATCGTTCAGTCGAACCTTAGAGTAACAATATATTTTAGTTTCAAGTGAAAAAAGAAGACACACTGGAAAGAAAAGAAAAAAAAGTGGCGTGTCATCGGTTGTCGAATATAAGACAAAGATAGAGTTCCATACTTGTAATTCTGCAGCATGTGCAGTGGCCAATGCAAGGCGCAGTCTATATGTTCCATGTGCATCTGCACTGTCAAGTTGGAACTTGATTTTCCAAGTAGTTCCTTCATATTTATTGTCCCCTATATTCCTACATTGCAAAAAAATGGTTATAGCCAAAGTATCTACCAGTCCAATTCAGTCAAACAGCAATTTTAGAGGAATGATAACAAGAAATAAGAAAGTATCAAATTGTCAGACAAAATCCTCAACTTCACAAGTTTGATGGCTTGGTAAATCTTACTCAAACTCTCTCCTGAGAACCCCAAGCTTGATTGTAAGTTAGCCAGTAGATTTTCATGGTAAAATACAACGTATCTATTTACCGCCTCCAGAATTGGAGAATACACAGCATAAATCAACGAAAAATGCATAAAATAAAACTCGGGAATAGACAAAGGAGACGTACAACATACAATATTACTTAATGATACATACTGTATTGTAAAAGAAATGTGAGCATGTTCACCAAATTAGTATTCATTTCTGCATTGGTGAACGTTACTGCGGAGAGCAAAATGAAAGAATGCATTTCTCACTTCTATAACTGACCAATTTTTAAATATTATTTAGCCACAAAAATCAATAAAAACTGCAAGAACAATCTAGAGAAGGGATACCTGGTGACTTGTGCAAAGAACCAATCTTTTCTGTACTCACTAAGGCCAACAGTGTAAACTAGATCCTCGTTAGGATATAATTCTGCGTATCTTTCCCATAATCCATACTGTCTAAACCTGACATTATAATGATAGAGTAAATTATTATTGAAATATAAATTTAAAATATTGAAATAGAACTGTTACGTTTAAACATTATATAATATAAAATAATATGACTATCATTTGATAGACTGCATAACACTCCAACAAGCTAAGCTACTTCTCGAAAAGGAAAAAGTTGGTACAGGAAGTTAATTGAAAATCCAAGAACTTACTTATCTGAATGATTGACATAAAGTCTATTAATATACTTTGGATTAGGATCAGGAACATAGAATTCTGCAGCAGTACGATCAGGAATGCCTATTTCCCATAATGTAGGACCATCTCTTGGAGGCTCAAAAACAAGTTCACCCACATTGATATCGCTGCCTACAAACTCAATGAAATTACAGTACTAATTATACACTCAAGGAAAGCGTGAAAATAATGATGGAAGAGAGTTTTAAAACCTGGGGTTATGGTAATGAAAGCATTGTATTGGTAATCGCCGATAAAATTAGGGACCCATCCATAAAGACTATAATTGCCAGTGAGAATATTATTTAAAGAGAAACAGCCATCTTTATCTGCTCTGGTCCAGAATTGGTAGCCCTGAGTTGCAAAACATGTTAGAGAAAGCCAGAGATCATTAGGGGTGAGTAAAGAGACCCGAAAAATCAATCCAATCGATCAAAACCGATCGAACCGATGTCGGTGTTCCTTGGTCTGTCCGTTCAGTTGTCGGTTCCTTTTTCAGAACCGACAAGTTGGTCAGTCAGTGGTCATGCACCCCCAAATTCCGACCAACCGACAATAATATACCTATTAAATTTATTTTTTTTAATGTTTTAAGACAATAGGTTTAAAACTCTCACCCCTCAACATGGAAGAGAATTTGAAAATGTAAAACAATATATACAGAGTAATTGAATAGAAATAATGAAAAAGATGGGAATACCTTTGAAATAGAAATATATAGCCTTGTTGGTTTTCCGACAAACCAACCGACCGAACCGACAATGATCTCTCAAATAACTCTAGCCCCTTTGACCCACCCATGATGGTGAATTTTTGCATCAATTCAAAAAGTTAACTTTTTTGGAAAATAGCCTCCAAATTCCAAGTCAATGCTGGGCTCACTATATATAAAATCGTTAAATAACTAATTCAATTATCTACAATTAAATTTTTTATTTTAATTTGAGTTTTAATATAAATTAAATTTAATAAATAATAATAAGCCCTTCTCGCTGTACCTTAGACTCTGTTTGCCAGGAGCCAAGTTCTCCGGGAAGTGCCAACCCGACATATGCACCACTTGCAGGAACGGATTCATCACTCACATATCTAAGCAGGTCGAATTAATGAAATTTAGCAAATAAGGAAAAAAAAAATCCATCCTCATTTATGTTATTTTGTTGTTCTCAGTACCGCGACGAACAGAACAGGTAATTAATAAGCTACCTCTCCCGGATCATCAATCTGCCATTGACAGTGCCTCGTTGATCTGATTTGAGAAAGTCCTTTGAAGCAGGGAAACTGTAAGGCCAGCTTTGAACTTCAACCATCATCTGAAAATGACAACTTAATTTGGATCATTGCTTATCGATTCATCAACATTACTTCCGTCCGTGTAAAATTACGTACCTGTTCTTTGGCATTTTCCCAGAGTCTAAGAGGATCGTCCCCTTCAGGCAAGGAATTAAGATAGATGAAGATAGGACCGAAAACCTTCTTCCATGGCTCGTTAGTTGCGAACCTTATTACCATATCTGCTCCTGCGTAGTGAGCGCTATGAAAAACCTGAGAAATGCAAAATTACATTCATCGGAGATGTTAGTTAAAAAAGGGATAATGGAATTGGAATCTTCAAAATCAGTATCAATCATCAGTGTAAATTTCAATTTTGCAAGCGTAATTGAAAAGCTTTCATCGCGTTCATGGGGGGCGGGGGCGGGACTCACTGAAAGGGTGGTGGGGCCGACATGGGAGGTGAGAAATTGCTTGAGGGGCCCACCAGAGCGGAACTCCTCGGTGGGAGAGATGTGCCAGAGTCCAATGGGCGGGTCTGGGTCTGGGCCTGGGCCTGCGGATATCCACCCGTGAACCCGGCTGTCTTTGCTTTCGCACCCGTATTGGTACTTGTCATCCACCTGCATCGGGATTCGGGACTTGTCCAGTAAATTACAATATTATATTTCTTATCACTAATAAAATAAAAATATCAATAGTTAGATTACCATGCTAGTCCTGTAATTTCAATTTAGTTTTAGGATTAAAGGATAGTTGGTGATTCCAATACATAAATAAATAATATATTCAATAAAAACAGAGTTGAATTTTATATTTTTAGTATTTTCGGATATATTTTTATTGCAGATTTATAAATTTATTGTCAATTTAAAAAAATTTTGTGTTTAATAATACATTTTAACCGGTAATAATTATTAACTAAATATTAATTCAATCTAAATTATTGTTAATTATTTATGTTATAAATTTTATTGTTAATTATTTATGTTATAAATTTTATTGTTAATTATTTATGTTATAAATTTTGTAGAGTTATAATTTTACAATATCATATAATTTATAATATAGTATATGTTACATGTTTTAATTTTAAAAAAAATGAAATAAGTTTATGATATGAAAATAATATATTTATCAAAACTTTTATTTTCTTTAACATTTAAATAATTCCTCTAATATATATATAATAGAATAAATATATGCATTAATATCCCATATTCGAGTATTTTTTTTATTTAGTCTCTATTATTTACAAAAGGTCAACTTATTCCATTATGTTTTAACATTTTTCAAGTTAGTCTCTCATTATAGTAGATGTTAAAATTGACTAGATAGATTTTTCTAAAATAATATTTATTAAATTGATGGAAATTTTAAAATTAACTAGATTATTTATTGAATGGATGGAAATTTAGAAGATAAAAAGTGTTCTAATTCTTCATCAAAATTTAAAAAAAAAAGACAAAAATTTCAAGATTCTAATAATTATTTTTAAAGCTTTAAATTTTCATAAGTAATATGTATCCAATTTTAACATTTTACCAATTATAAGCTAGTTAAATATTAAAATATAAAATGTTAATTAATTAATTTTTTTTCGCCAATATGAGCAAGACTTATTTGAAAATTTTTAAATAGTAGGAATTAAATCGGAAAAACAGAGTAAAACATATATTTTAGGCATATGAGAGAGAGAGAGAGAGAGAGGAGAATGTGTGAGAGAGGCACCTCTCCCCTGAACCGTGGCTCTACAGGATCCAGAAGGAGGACGGCCTCTGGATAAGCAAGGGCTTGCCCTCGCGGTGGCCTCCGATCGTCCGGCGAAGGCATCAATCTTTGTCTCTTATCTGCTACAGCCATGTACCCAAACCTAATCATTCACAAATTTATCCACATGCATTCTTCGTCAATTTTAATTCCCAAATTCAAAGTAAAAGGTCCGATTTCTTTACTTGTCTTTTCTGAGCTTGAATACGATTCTCGTGTTGTCAAAGTCAAACGCAGGCCATTCTCTCAAGTGTTCGTAAATGGCGTACGAATAGAATCCTGATGAACCGCGGAGCATCACGAACCTGGAGAACAACAAGATTTCGCCCTTAATCGTTCATTGTCTTGATAATTGCTTACAATTTCTGAGCGTTTTTTCCCTTTTTTCGAGATTTTTTTTATGTTTGGTTACCTTTTGTCGATGTTCAAGGGAACGAGATTGGCTCCGGTGGATGAATTGTAAGTTCTGGTGAATGAGAGCTCTATTTGTTCATCATTTTCCACAATTACCTTGAAATCTGTTCCTTCTATTCTGCATTGACAAAAATCAAGTACTTCAAATTTTGATTTATGAACAACAGAAAGTAAGTAAGAAGTGGAATTTTCAGCTCGAAAATGGCAACAAAAAAAAAGAGCCTTACCGATCAAAAATGCCCTTGGTTCCCGAACTTCCTGCGACATTCCAAACAATGTCCCAATATCTGCAATTTCACCCCAAAAATTTACACGAGTTTTTTTTAATAAGTGAAAATGATAAGTAAATTAAGTTAATATGAGTTGTTGTATATAATCTGTTTTCTTTTTTGTAATGAACCTCTTTTCTCATTAAAATAAAAGCAGTTTTAATTCTGAATAAACTTTTAAAAATAAATTTATTCTTTTAAAACTTTGACTAAGTTTTCCCGAAAATTAAAAAAAAAAAAAAAAGAAGTTACCAGATAATCTTTAACAACTTTGAAAATTAGAGTTAATTACCCTCTGTTATATTCAGCATTGCCAACCTCAAGCAAGTTTTCGATCCCATTGTATCGTATTCCGGTGACGAATCCTTCTGGGTTTGACAATGTTACCCCTGTTATGCCATTGTCCATTACAATCTACCAATACAAATAATATGTTATTAATTATTCGAACTCATACTAATCGAAATATTTCGATTTTATTAATTTCTAGCTAAATGCGGGACTATTTTCATAATTTTTAAAACTAAAGCATTAGAGAGCATAGAGTTGAGCGAAATTACATGTTGGTCGTGAATGCGGAGTTGCAGCGGAGGCGCCGAGACGTCGAGGCCAAGCCCACCGCCGGCGGCGGCGGTAGACGGCCGCCGTGAAGCTTCTGGTTGTGTTGTTGCAGAGATGAAGGGCGCGTGAAAGTAAAACAAAACAGAACAGCAGAGGCAAAAAAAAGTGAGAGGCGCAGATAAATTTGAGGGGGAAAAAACGGTGCTGTTTTTCATGTTGTGTCTCGACTTTTTTGACATTATTATTTGATTTCTCGAACGTAAAATAAGGATGGGTACAAAAGGCACTACAGAAAACTTAGAAGGAACATTTTTTATCTTTATAGCTGGGCTTTGCTTACTTGATCTAAAAGGCAAACCATTTCCCCCCGTGAACTTCTTACTTTTGTCGCCACTTTCTTATAAATTATAAATTTATAATACAGAGAGAGAGAGAGAGAGAGAGAGAGAGAGAGAGAGAGAGAGAGAGAGAGAATAAGTATAATTGGTATAGAATCTAGACATTTTCAACCTGCAAAGGAAATACAAATGAGAAAATGCTGTTTTGAATGTAGTGATTGGCGCATGAACGACGCAAGTGAATAAATTTGATTGTGGATGAGTAAATTTAAATTTGAAAATTGGCTGTTTGATTGCTGTGATTTTCATTTTGATTCCTTCATTAGTTGTAAATACTATGCACAATTAGTGGGTGTAATAAATATTTATTAACTATGGGATCAGCAAATTACTATATTTATCTATCTTATTAATGGAAAGGAAAGTATAACAGAATACCACTAATTAATGCAATTCTTATCCCACCAAAAATATACTGTCTCATTGTATTTTTTTTTTCTTTTTTGAAGTTCAAATCTCTCCCATGAAGGAGTAGGTGTCAAGGCTTAGCTTATCAATTTGAGTAAAGCTGATACTCTGACTAAATGTTGGATATTTTTATTTTATTGATTTTTCACATATTTTCTCTCGTTCAAAATTCTAATAAATGAATTAAATTTACCCAAACCATTAGCTTAAACTTTTGAGTTGAGAGGTGATTTATTCCTCCTTAAGAGTTTGGTAATTTATTTGGTAGGACAATTTTAAGAGAAGATTAAATTAATATTAGAGTTAGAAGAGGAGTGTTAATGGCATGATGGTTCATGCATGACACCCTCCCAAGAACAAAAAGAGCATCCCACAGGTCAATTTGTTGCTGAGAATTATTTACAATAAATAAGAATGCGAATATGCTTACCATCACAATATTATATGGCATTGGATCCAAGTGTTTTGGAGTCTCAAAATTATAAACATTTCATGTTGTTCTTTTTTTTTTCCCCGGCGCCAAATGGCTGATAAATGATGCTAATTAATGGCCTCCAAGGGGAAAATGGCTGGTAAATACGTTTTGCTATATTTGAATAAGAATAAAATTTGGCCATCACCACGTCAACTAATACTTCTAGGTGATAAAATTTTGCTATATTTGAATAAGAACAAAATTAAGCTGCCGATGAGAGCAAACTCTACTTCTTGCCATTGGATTTTGTTATGGTCAAATAAGAACAAATTTTAGTTTTGCTATATCTGAATAAGAATAAATTTTAGCCTCTGGTGAGAGCAAATTCTACTTCCAACAAATTTGGACCACATAGAGTAATAATAGTTATATAACCAAACTTTTCTTCCCCCACAGGACAATGCGTCTAGAAGTGTTACTTTTTCTCATAGGAACGTGGCCCGTAGGGACCCACCCCAAGCGAGGCGTAGAATCCTTGTTTAAGTGCACTAGGGATGAGAAATACTTGTAGGAAAAAACTTGGCTCCTAAAACAACGCTCGCTTCTGATTAATGATATAGCCTAATAATAAGTTAACATGTGTTGACTTTGAGATTTTTCTATTATCTTATTAAAATTTATATCTTATCGATATCTCTTCAATATCTCTTTTATTTTTTTAAAAAACTCATTTGACTTTTCTCCTCCCCTTTTTTCTCTCCCAACAATTTCAAATACAATCTTTGATGAGAAAAGAAGGGAGGAGAAATGAGTTTTTTTAAAAAGTAAAAAATATATTGAAGAGATATTGATGAGACATAAATTTTAATAAAATAATAGAAAAATCTCAAAACCAACTCATGTTAACTTATTATTGGATCATATCATTAACCAGATGTATCATAAATCTTCAGGAGCCAAGTTTTTTCTTCACAAAATGTGATGTTCTAAAAAATATCATATGCATACAATTGTGAATATTAACTTCAAGATCACATTAACTCTTCTAACATTAAAAAACTACTCGATCCATTGCATCTACCAAAACAGTTTCGAAGACAAGATCAGAAAATTGATTTTAAAACAATCTCTCAAACTAAGCCTAGAGAAAGACTCTAAAATAATTTAATACGCACATATAAAATATCAAAGATATCTCAGGCAACAGAGAGTTTTAAGTCAAGCCAAAGAAGGGAGGCAATAGAAAATAGCTAGTAAAGATAAATCACATAGTTGGGGGACCTTCCAGACGGATGTAATCATACATGATACCTTGGAAAGGGCTGGTGCAGCGTGGCTGAGTCAAGAAGATCGTGTTATCTCCTTCAACAAGATGAGAGCCTGCTATCCCCACGCTGTAAAGCCAATAAAGTCCATGAATTCCATGTCTAGCAATTGAGTTGTCCCTCCCTATCAACCCACTCGTAAACAGAGGTCGCTTTGATCTCGGGTCATTAATCCGGACCTAAAGAGGGAAAGCAAAAGAGAGAAACAAATAATTTAGGAAATGTTAAGCATTTTATGTTATTGCTAATAGTATAGCATCTTACCTGCAATTCAGCAAGAGTTGCAGATGCAATCGCGACTCGTAGCATATACATACTCTTGTGATCCACACTATCGAGTTTGAATTTGATTTGCCAAGTAGTTCCTTGATGCGCGTTACTGTTTGTCTTCCTGAAATACATGTTATAGTTGACAAATACAAGACATGTTTATGATCATATAACGACCATAGCCATTAATAAAGAGAAGAAACAGCTGTGGGTTTAAAGACGATTATTATCAGTCGGTGTTGTCCTTGGTTGGAGGCAATGGATAGCAAAAGAGATGTTACCTTGGGACCTGAGCGAAGAACCAATCTTTACTATAATCGCTTGTGCCAACTGTGTATACTAAATCCTCGTCAGGGTATAATTCAGCATATCTGTCCCACAATCCATATTGCCGGAACCTTCATAGCATAAATGGTAGAGATTTTAGCTTTAGTTGGACTTGGATCCCTCAAGTTCTACAGAAATTATTGATTTGCCACTAACACTTTGCAATCCTCAGTAACAGAACTCAAATTTCTATTTAGAAGCACTGTGAAAGAAACTGTAAAAATGGACCATAATAATCAAGTTCATGTTCATTTAAATCATGAATTATAGAAAAACTGAAAAAGGGCTACCTGTCTGGATGGTTTACAAAGAGGTTATTAATATGTATCGGGTTAGGATCAGGAGCATAGAACTCAGATGCAGAGCGATCAGGAATGCCTATTTCCCAAAGTGTGGGCCCATCTCTTGGAGGTTCATATACGAGGTCGCCCATTTCAATGCAAGATCCTGCTTTTCAACTTGGGATACTATAATTGTGTACAGAGAAATTGAAGGATCATTACAGATACAGGAAATGATACCTTGGTTTATGTTAATGAGAGCATCACAACGATAATCTCCAATAAAGCCGTGGACCCACGCATATAGATTATAGTCGCCAGCGTGTATGTGGTTGATGGTAAAATAACCACCATCATCTGCTCTAGTCCAGAATTGATATCCCTGACAAGAAGGGTACATTCTTTTAAAGCATACATGTGATTTAACCTTCCAGATAATATTAAGGGTTCGTAGAATAAAATGTTGTTAAAAGGTTTGAGTCTCAAAGAGTGAAATAAATTTATTCTTCCCATTTAAGCTTGACCATTCATAAATGAGGAAAGTCTAGAACAAAAGGAGCTTTATGTTCATTCTTCCACCATATTACTTGGCTAATTTTTTTAATACCATCTTGATAGAAACACGAGACCACTTATTCGCTTTCCTTATCCTAGGGGGATGAAACATAAAGCTAAGGAGGGTGTTAGGAATGCTACTCGGGTAGTTAGAAATATTATTAAGGTATTAGGGCAAATTAGTAATAACCCCAAGGAGCTTATTAGTAGGAATTGATTATAAATAGAGTAAGCGAGGGGAGAGGAAGGTAGGCAACAATTTAGTAGGTTTAGGCTTGAGAATACTCAACTAAGTACCTCAAATACTTGGGGAGTTGTTATATTCTTGTATCCTCTTATATTTCAGTATAATTCCGAGGGTTAGTAGACTGTGGTAAGTTAGGGTGGTCCCAGGGAGGGCAGGATAGTCTTTTGCTATAAGTAGTTCGTTATAGTGAAGTCAACAGAAGAATGTGGAGTTAGATAACTGATAAAGGGTGGGGAAATTATATAGTAAGAAAAAGTGGTACAATCTGCAAGCAAAGTTAGAAGAGTCTTTTTCTAGTTCATTAGAGAGAGCGAGATACAAACCTTCAAACATCTGTGGATTTTATATCCTTTCCCTTAATGTCAATAAGAGGATGTCTATACTTCTGGGCTATAACACGTCTTTTATAGGTATTAGAAATATTTGGAAATTTAGAAAGTTGTTCAATCAAATCCCAGAAATATAACACATGCGCAATGAAGTATCTCTTTATAAGATAAGCTTCACTATCTTGGATTTAAAAGACAATAAATATTCAGCTCAACAATGAAAATTTTCAAGTGTGTGAAAATCAAACAGCTATCTTAATGATATCATAGGACATGGGTCCATCATTTAATTGCTGGTGCAATATCCTGTCGTTCTAGCAACGAAAAACTAATATGCTAAAAAAATTGTAAAATTACAGGTTTGACTTTGACCTTCATTCGTGAAATTAAGGGGGCGGCCATTTGATTTTCATTTGGTGGTAGACAATAATGGATAGTCTTTACTTCACTATCATATTCGTTATGGAATTGAAACAAAAAGTTAATCACCTTGCATTCTCTCTGCCATGACCCTACTTCTCCTGGTGCAGACAATCCTACAAAGGCTCCACTGGCAGGCAGATAGTCTTGACTAACATACCTAGACATTTTGATTACAAAGGTCCAAGCACATAAACTAAGCCAGAAAATTAAACAAATTGAGGTTCTAATTAATAACATCATGTTTCTTGTTTATCGTTTTTCATTTAAAGTTTTTGAAAAGTTGGTGTAATCCATTCCTTTTCTTTTCTTAAGTTTTACAAAAGTAGGGGTATGGTTTCTTGAATTCTCTTTCCAAATTTCTATCTTAACAAAATGTTCACTGAAGTAACATTTTTATCTTTTAAGCTTTTATAGAAATCTTAAGAATGAAATATGAAATAAAGTTTAGGAATGTCATAAAAATGTTTCTTAAGGGACATTTACGAGTATAAAATGCCTACCTGTCAAAAACCAGTAGTCTACCACTAACAGTACCCCGTTGATCCACTTTCGGGAAATCCTCAGATGCAGGGAAACTATAAGGCCAACTTTGAACTTCCGTCATCATCTGGTAATCATATAATTAATTGTGTGTCTTGACACAGTGTCATCCATAAAAGGAAAAAATGTGAGTGTCTTAATGCATCAAACCTGTATTTTAGCATCCTCCCATAACCAAAATGGGTCATCTCCAACTGACGTGGAATTAAAATAGAGAAAAACAGGGCCAAAAACCTTCTTCCATGGCTCACCGGCTCTAAATTTTGGCACCAAATCTTGTCCCGCATAATGAGCACTAAGAAATATCTAAAAGAGCAAGTAAAAATGAAAAATGAGAATCACCAGAACTCCTACTTGTTACACAAGGTCTCCAGAATTCATGGTACATCAATGTGCAAGACAATTAAAGAAACTAATATGATTAGTGGTGTTGGGTCACCTACAGCAAGGGTTGTAGGTCCCACATGTGATGTTAGACTTTGCTTAAGAGGTCCGCCTGACCGAAACTCATCACTGGGTGTAATCTGCCAAAACCCGGTGGGTGGATTGGTGCATATCCATCCATGGACCTTTAAGTCTTTGTTTTCACATGAGTATTGGTATTTGTCATCCACCTAAACGAAAAATGATCATATGAAAGCAAGTGGATTCTATCAAAACCTAGTTGGAAATCATCTCTACCTTGAATTTGAAAATCAAGATAAAACATGTACAGTAAAAAACCCTGAGTCATCCCACTAGGCAAAGATCAATGAACCAGCCCACTTCCTAAAGAGAGAAGAGTTGTCCAAGAGTACCTCACCCTTGAGTTGAGGGTTCTTGGGATTAGTAAGTAAGACGGCTTCGGGGTAGGCCAAAGTTTGGCATCTTCCAGATAACCGATCATCGGGCAGCGGCATGAATCTCTGCCTGTTATCAGCTACAGCCATGTACTGAAACCTATTGATTCAAGCCTTGTTCTAGTGAATAATATGTTGACATGAAAGAAAATAACTCAACTAAGGTGTATTTAGAGAATTAAGCAACCCGGATATGCAAGTCCAAGCTAGAATCTACAAAATATCTTCCTTGGGATATTCTCTAAAGCTGTTCATTTTGAAAGAAAAAGTAAAAATAAAATAATGGGAAAAAGATCATATTCCAAGAAGCATCACTATAATCAAAGACCAACTAATCACCGTTATACTGAGTCTCAATGAAATCATAAATGACTTGAGTTGAGAAGGATCAAGTATATTCACTTGTCTTTTCTGAGCTTAAAAGTGATCCTGGTTTCACCAAGATCAAAATCAGGCCAATCCTTCAAGTGCTCATAGATTGCATAAGAGTAGAATCCAGAGGAACCACGTAGCACTATGAACCTAGAAGAGAAAACAGGAATACTCGATTAAGTGGTTATTCCAAAGGTTTGAGTACATTGATAAAAAAATTTGAGGACAAACCTTTTGTCTATGTTCAAAGGAACAAACTTGCCCTCGAGGGAGGGCTCCCACATCCTCATAAAAGAAAGCTCTACCCGTTCCTCATTTTCCACTACAACCCTAAAACTTGATCCCTTAATCCTGTATGGTAATTGGGTCTCAATTCACGTGAAAGCATAGAATAATAATAAATAAAACCAATCAAATGCTAAAAAAAGTAGAGGACATTGAGGATATAAATGCCCCAGTATCAGCAAGGACTAATCTAATAGCTGATTGGCAAGAAAAAGAAAGGCAATTTCTTTGACCAACAAATTTAATTTCCAAGAGTTATACAGAATAATTAGTAAGTGAAGAAGGAAAGGCCATACACGTCAAATATTCCTTTGCTTCCTGGAGAATTCCAAACAAGGTCCCAGTACCTGAATGTTATTGATAAAAATAAGATAATTTTATAAAGGAACAAGAGAACATACAAAAAAAGATAACTTAACGTATCCAGAACCACATACAATACTTACTACTAAACAGATACTTCCCTATAAGGACTTGTCGCCCCATTTTAATTAAAATAATTTCAGAGGTGTGACAGTTGTAACTACATATACCCTCTGTTATGTTCAGGGTTAAGAACTTCAAGCAGATTGTCAACGCCATTATATCGTATGCCAGTGACAATTCCGTCTGGTTTTGATAAAGTTAGTTGCAGTATTCCATTATCCACCACCACCTGCACATAGCATGAATATATAAGGAATAATCTGGAGAGTTTTCGACAGAAATTACAATATTCTTCTTTTCAATTTTCAAATTAAAAAGCCCGAAATCTTTAGCCTCATCAATATATATATATATACATACAATTTTCCCTTTCGTAATTGTCTTCTGAAATATCTTCACATAATCAGAACAAAATGGAAAAACTAACTTACATGACGATCTCGTATCTGCAACCGCACCCCCGTGGATGACATTGTGAAACCTTCAATTTTGGAATTTCTCGAGCAGCAAAAGTCGGTAGAAGTTCGAAATTTCGTAAAATCAAATGAACTGGAAGATCAAATAGCAAAATATAAACTCAAACAAGAGAAATTAAGAACTATTGTGCAGTATCGCAATCTTCATCCGAGTGAACTCGGATTATCTGGAAAGAAGAAAAAAAAGAGTTCAAAGAGTGAAAGATGAAGAAAAACGCATGGAGAGTGACGAATACGCATACCGATTTCTTGTGAACAATAAAACGGAGTGTCTCTTCACTTCCTGCTTAGATATCAAATGGATTTCGATTATCACACTGTACAATGACTTTTCTTATTCTCTAAAGAATTGAGATCGTTTTGCTCTGACGCCGAAGATTAGAATTTAGAGTAGCGCGAAACTGGCGCGGTGATCTGATATTTATATGGATCGTGGTGCTAGCCACGCTAAGGCAACATTTTCAATTTACTAGTTTTTTAAGTTTATATAATGCTACTGAATAGATATGATGAGCCTATTTCGCTCGCGATGGTAAAATAATAGATCGTAGAATTTTAAATTTGTTCAATTATTATTACTAAATTAATTTACACAAGATGAACAAAAATGGCCACGAAGCAAAAGACTTTGGCTTGGTTTCTGGATTTTAAAAATAAAATAATTGTTGTTAACTGTATTTTTTTAAAAAATCAGGTGTAATAATGTAGAGTAAATTTTTTGTGTTTGATCAATTTTAATTTTAAGTATGAAAATGAAAGTTATTGTGCTTAATAAATTAATACTAAATTTATGTGATTTAATTGTAATGACTAAATTAGACACGTTGATAAAATTTTGCACAATTTATTGTTGATGGTTTTTAACATTTTTAATGATAGTTATATTAAAATTTTATATGCTTTCAATTTCAATTTATATTTAAGTTTATTATAAATAATCTTTAAATATGAGGAGAAACTATTATTATAGTAGTTAAACCAAGCATAGTTCAGCGGTAATTGACATGTATCTCCAACCATGAATCATAATTTAAAAAAAAAGTTATGGTATATTTTTTATATAAAAACAAATAGTTGCATTACACCATACAAAATAGAAAATAAAATATAGTTTTCTGAAATCAAATATTAAATTTGTTAAAAGGATAAAATTATAATTTTCAAAACTGTTAGCTAGGGACACTTGACTCGAAAAATGGTGGATGGAAAGTGAGTTTCAATAGGTTCTTCAATCTATTTATTATTTCTAGATTCAAATCAAATGAATTGGAAAACAATGTTTCTATGTGTTTTTAGATTTTAAATTTTAGACTTTATAATTCACAATTACATTAAAAATATAAAATTTTTGATAAATATGTTATCTCACGTTATAAACTCATTTAATTATCGTTACAATTTTTAAAAAAATATAAAATATATTATTATAAATTATACAATATTGTAAAATAATAATTATACAAAATTTATAACATTTATGTTAATAAAATAATTAATATTTTTCTTTTTTACTTCAAGGAGGGCTTGAACCTGGATCTTGGGGTGTTGGCCTCTTTCCACTGCGCCAACACCTCGGGTGCATAATTAATATTATTTTGGATTTGAACCAATTATTTAATTTATAACTACCCAAATATATTACTAAATGCTTTAAACAATTTTCTAAATTAAGATTAAATTTCTAAATCTATGAATGTTTTTTTATCACCAATCAAGCATACTCATATCTACTTCAATAAAATAAATACTATGAAATTGAAAACCCACTTTTTAATTTCTTCGAAAACAAGTTATAAAATAATCAAATGATTGTTCTTGCATATCAGTGGAGCTTTGTGGAGTTCAACCGAAATTTGCACTTTTGACTTTTGCTGGCTCAATCGAAGGTTTTCTAGATAAGGAGAAAATTATCTGGCACGGCTCAAATAATGTATATATGAAAAGAAAATTAGAAAAAATAAAAAATTTGCCCTTTCTTTTATATTTGCTTCTACGATATAAAAATATAATGTGAAACTTAATTCTGAAAATTCAGGTGGGAGAGAAAAACCAACATTCACAGGATAGCAGCAACTCATTCACTAGAATGATAGATTGTAAAGCAGTAGATTTAACCGACCTAAAACATAACTCAACTGTAAAGATTTAAAACATCTGGCACTCAATAATAAAAGCATAAAACTTCTTCCTAAACTTCAGAGCAATAAATACATAAAACTTCTTCCTTTTAGGTCGAAGATTTCCCGTTTGTTGCACTAAAAAAATCTTATATTGGTAGAATAAATCGAGATGTACTTCCAACCAAGATTAATACACTTACGGCCAAGTGAAACCCCCAAGAACAAAGGAGTAGAGAGCATCAGGCCGAGCCCCCATGAGTTTGATAATATAAGCTAAAACAGCAGTTATCTAATATTCTCGGTACAGAAAAATGGAAGTTATTACGTTTTAAACAAGAAACTTTTTTTTTTACATGGAGAACATTCTCCACTATGAAGGATCTGTGGTAAGCTCACCAGCAAATCAGTGTACGACGTCGTTCCCGGCCTTTCTCTGGAAAAATAGGGATCCTAATAGGACGGCAATGCCTGTAATTGCAATGGTGAATATAAGACGTCGGGTAGAAAACTCCTGCGGCTGTCTTCTTCGAGCGCCGTGATCTCGGCGCTCTCTTTCTGGTGCCACCCCCACATCCCTTCAAATAAAACAATAGCGCTCGTTATTAGACGATGTTAAACTAAACATACGGAATACAAGGACAGAAAAAATAAGTCCAGCATTCTACCCATCTAACATGAATGATGATTACCTAAATGTAAATGAAATTCATTCACCGAAAAGAGTACATATCTCATGACGTATGAAATAGTGTAATTCAAATTATCAACACTCCCACCAGCCAAAACAATGGATCAGAGAGAAGACAGGGAAGAAAAGAAGTTATGAACGTACCAGGAAAATTCACATACAACAAATTCAATCGAACTTGGAAATCCATAAATTTGAAATTTATCCTAGCCAAACCCCAGTCCCATGGTATTCTTTCTAGATTCATTACATGCACCTCGACTAATGACAATCCACTGTTAAATTGGAAGCGAAACCTTATGGCAGCAGATGCACATAGGCGCCATGTAACAACGCTCCAGTTTTTTCCTTTAGATGGAGACAACTTCAATGAGAAGAAGGAAGAGAGGAGTATGTGCAAATTACATGGCACTAGTTTTCAATACCATCAAGGTTAATACTTCCATTTATGCTGAAGTTTAAGCTTTTAGCTAACAAAAGTTCAAGTTAGAAGTCCAACAGGTTGATTTCGAATACAATACAAGCTTAGTTTAGCATTTGGAACTTTGTAACTAACTGAAGTTGATAAAGGAAAAAGAAATCATCATCTAGACAATAACTTCAACAGAAAACAAAAAATGTTATTATCTGACGCAGCAGACACTTAGTTTAGAAGGACAAAAATAAAGATAATCCAGAATTAGAAATAATCGTTTGGTTAAAATTTGTTTAAGGGGCGAATTTTTTATTATGTAGATCAGAGATATTGGATAAAAAAGTTGGTTCCAACGGAAATGCTAATGGATATCCAAAGGAATAAAGAATGGATTTGTGTTAAAATTAATCCATGGATATCCTCTATATCTGCGAACGAGTTTCATTGTTCTTCAATAACTGAAGAGTTCAGAATTTTTAACATTAAAAAGGGAGGGCATGAAATATACATTAAAGAGGGCGTCAAGAATTTCCATGGTTTTCTAACTCCAGAATTAGAAATACACTAACATGGGAACAAACGTAGAAAACCTTAGAACAAGCGCTACCAGAAAAATAATTCCCACCAATATAGGTTTAGACTGGAGTTCCCATTAGTAAAGGCCCATCCATATGAAACTATCATAAATCGATGCCCGAGAGAGATTCCACTGTAACTACTAAACTAGGAGTAAAAACCTGAACTTGAAAAATAGCAGTTAACAGAATAACCAAGTTGACTATTTCAACAGGTTGTTCTACCTGGAAGATTCTGCAATGTTATCTGCTGCAGCAACACCCTTGCAATTATTGTCATGGCTATATCTTTCTCGTAGTCTTATATATCGCCGACACAGATGACAAAGTTCAGTCCGGTTACCACATACTTCCTGTGAACCAAAAAAGGTAATTTCATTGAGATATCTTCGAAGTTTCCATTTAACTTCAAATTCATTATTTGACCTTACCTGATGCTCAGCCAAATCTATTGCTGGCAATGGGAACTCACAGAACTCACAAGTGACAATCCTTTGGGGGCAATTTTCACCTTTATGAGTGGCTAAAATGTCCCTTTCCATGGTCTCACTACACAGCGAACAGGAAACCTGTCCAAGTACAAGGTCATAACTCATAAGTACTTTAAATGTCGATAATTAAGAGGAATACCACCAATTTTTATTCAAAGACAATATAGACCCACAGCCTAAACTAGACAAAAAAATAATCTGTACGATGGAGAATTTTCACAAAGAAATTTAAAGAAAACAGAATAACCCTCAAGTTAATGTTATACATAATGCAAGAAGTTGAAAAAAGCCAAAATTAATAGAAAGAGAGTAATATAAATTGCCTTCAAGTAACATTCAAGCATTTCAGAGTGCCATAGTATTAACTATTTGAACGAAAGATTATAATACCGGAGCATGTGTGTTCAGAAAATGCTCCTCCGCCTGTCTTTTAGGAACCATATCGCCACATATTTTACATTTTTCTAGGTTCCGCACGCAATGAACAGAATGCAGATCAATATTTGACGACGGAATGGCTCTGCCGCTATACATGGAGAAAACAAAGCAATCATCATTCAGATCATCGCTATAGAACAACAACTGCTTGGAAGGGGATCGGGCAACAAAATTCAATCATGAATAAGATACGATAATCGGGGGAATTCTAATTCTGACCTAATTTTATTCTTCAAATTAAAAGAATGAAACAAAACAACGATCGTCCCCCACCATATTTGTGTCTAAACTGGGTAAGAGTTCTATCCCCAAACTAATTAATATCGGATCAAATTGAGGGGAATAAATTGAAATTCCAAAGAAATCTCAAACGATAATCATAATTGACAAAGCCGAGGTTAGAAATAAGAGATTGAAATCGACAAAAGCTTCAATACAAGGGATCTCTTGTCGAGAAAGCAAAAAGTTAACGATCCATCCAGAATTACAATACCAGTGATTGCATATGCTTGTGGTCTCTTCGGATGCAATTGCCATCGGGACGAAGGGGCAGAAAATAAACGATCGTCGTTGAAGGTCCGATGATGTGAAAATTAGGGAAACGAGAATTGAAGCGCTGCAGGAAGATTATTAGAAGAGATCAAAAAGGAGCAAAGATGATGAGAGTACGAAATTGAACAAAATTAGAAATACCTAGAAATTCTAGCCGTGGATCGATACCGATTCGAGGACGAAGACCGACCGACCGACTTCGATTCAACTACAATTAATCAAAGTGAATGACTTTCACGAACGAATGCGACCCACCTCCACCCACCCTTAAACAAAATAAAAGATTCGTTTTCATTATATAGGATTTTCTTTTTCTTTTTTCTTTTTTCTTTTTAATAATATGCAGTACGAGATTTTTCTTTAGCAGGCGAGATTTGAAGTTTGGAGTATATATTTATTTATTTATTTTATGAAACATAAATTAAATTTATAGAAAAATAAAATCAATTAAACCAAGTATTTGTAACATAAAGACTCAAAGATTTTTCAATAGGGTCGTAATAACCATTTAAATAATGTTCAAATATGCTTTAAAACTCAACCAAACTTATAAATTTTCAAAATACAAGGATAGGAGAACTACTCACCTTGAAGAACTACTTACCTTGAATTATATTAGAAAAATAATCTCAAATTGAAAATAAACTTGCTGAATAACTATACTGTTAGGCTTTTTTTTCCTTCTTTTTTGTGTTAATCTCCTTGACTTTCAGTCGAGTATTTATACAATAGATAAAATCTAAAATTTTCCTATCTATATCATAAATCCTTTTCTTTAAACTAAAAGGAAATATAAATTTATAAAAGATATAACAAATTATTAAAATTTACGTTTGAAACCATCTATATTTATAAAATGATATATAAATTGCAAAATAGCTTAAGTTAAGATATCTATCTTAGTTAGTTCCTCGAAAAAAATGAGATAACCATATATTGTAAAAAAATAATAACCACAACAAATAAATATATTACTTAGAAAGGAAAGGAGCGGGGGTGGTAGACGTGAAAACCCTTGGGCTCTCAAGGCATTGAGCAACGGGCTGGGCCAAGACTTATTTAAGCCCAACTTTTTTTTAATAAGCCCAAGTTTGTTCGCTTTAGCAAATGCCATTGATTATGTGTTTATATTACCTCAAGTTGCATATAAATAGTTTCTTGATTTTATCATTATAAAAGTTGGAGAATAAGGTATCTATTATCGTTACAAAAGTTGATGGTACGATCAGTCTCTATAATTACTTAACTTAAAAAATATCATCTTTAATTAATATCAAATGAAATAAAATTGATAACTTAAGTATTAATTTTTAGTCAACATGTCTATGTTTTCATACATGGAGGGTGAAACATGAACTTAGCTCAACAGTAGTACTTGTCCTTGTTCAAGAGGTCACGAGTTTGAATCTCCAAGTTGGTTGTACTAAAAAAATCGATAAAATATATAAAATAACAACCAACATAATATCATTTGACATTTCCATTTCCATATATAAATTTTACGAGACCTGACATTTCCATTGACAGTCATTTAAAACTATGACTTAGACATCTCAATCAAATACTTATTAAGAGAGAATTAAAAAAAAGAAAAGAAAAGAAATTTATTAAATACAATAATATTTAAAGTTTGGGTTGATAGTATATCATTTTAGATATTTAACGACTAAATTTGTAATTTATCATAAATGTTAAACAATGAGATTCGCGAAATTGAGACATGATAACAATATTACGCGTCTTTAAAAAAAGAAAAAACAATATTATGCGAATTTCAAACACAAAATCATTGATAATTCCAGAACACAGGTTCGCAATTTCAAACAAAGAAAATTCACATACAAATGGAATTTAAAAAGTAATAATAAATAAAATAAACTAAAATGGAAAGACCTGGCCAGTGGCTACTGGCGAGTTGAGTACTACCAATTCAAGTAAACCATGCCATGCTGGGGAAGGCCGATGTCTGCTTTCCGCACAAAGTAAAAAGTTTTCGTATCTGCATAAACCTCTTTTTCTTTTTCTTATTATTATTTTAAATACTTAGGTATTGATTTATGAAGGCTATATTGTGGCCAACATATATAAAAATTAAAATTGAAAAACTAATGAATGGTTTTATTTTTAATTTTTAATTTTTTTTATTACTAATCAACATAGAGATAGATTGGTCCTCACCCATCTAGACTTAAGTATTTTTTTTCCTTTATATCAAAATCACTTTTGTGATTGTCAAAATTACTTTCCAATATCATGTTGGCAAATTAAAAAATTAATATTAGAAAAGTTTAAAATAACTTTAAATTAATTAAAATGCCTTTAAATTAATTTTTAAGGTATTATTTGAACGGTAATTTTGGAAAATCAATTATATATATATATATATATATATATATATATATTTCAAAATCAGTGATTCTACCATCACTCTCAAATATACGATAAGTTGCTTACCGGTAAGTAGTAAGTTTGATAACTATTTATTTTTAAAAAAAATTTAGTTATATAGTGATAAATAGGGATACTACTTATCAATAATAATAATGATAAAAAAAAAAACTAAATATTATTCTTATTTTTCCTGCGCAATTACTAAAGATGCTTACGGAGAATTTAGAATGGTAAAATGAAAATAGAACACATTGTGAAAATTTTAAAAATAAGAAAACATCAAACTGAAACCAAGATATGTTTTAAATACTACACAATATATATATATATATATATATATATATATATATATCTGTGTGTGTGTGTGTTTCTTTATAAAATTATAAAAGTGAGACATACGTAAAAATGCATTTTTTTTGCACAAGAAAAATGTATTATTTTATTATATCATTGGATCATTGGATCAACATTTTGAGTGCAAGTCCTAACAAAAAAAAAAAACATTTCGAATGCAAAAATACATCAGGTTGAGTGTTTTGCTAACCGTTAAATTCTCTCTAACAAAATGTTAAGAGTCTCATAATTCATTTTCTAAAATTCGAAGGTTCAACTTTAATCTGTTGTACTAAAGAAAGTCGTCATGATACTGAAATTTTTCAAGTATGTCAACCTATGTTGATTGATGTGAAGAATCTCTTACCAAACAATTTAATAAATGGTGTGGTTGGAAGAAAAATCACATCATATATAATTAAGATCAAACAACCCAAAATGTTAGTGAGATAGGTCCAAAATTTTCCTAAGAATATTAGGTCAAATGTGGGAATATATTTTTTGAACTTACAAGCCAATAATATTTCACTATAATTTAAATTATGCTTGAGTTAGTAAAAGTAATTAGCATTAGAGTTATACCCATGTGATAGGTTTGGCTTCATTTCTTGTATTTTGACTATATACAATGCATCTAATTTTAAAAATTATAATTCTTGCAATGCATACGTTAAAAAAAAAAAATTTGTAGCTCGCATGCATTGTGACATCAAATTTTTACTTGAAAAAATCCCTCAAAAATATTAATTCATCGATAGATATTTTAAAACATTACATATATTTTAATACAACTTAATTATCTCATCTTAAATTATGCTTTTTTCAGTATAACTGAATTATTTAAAGACTAATTTCCTTCTTTCCTTATTTAGTGCAACCATATATTCCGGTAGGAAATCAAATTTTTTAGTTTTTGATCGAGAAACTATACTTTAATTTATTGAAATATGTTGCAATTAATTGGCTTTCTTCCTAATTATATAAAACCAAGGCAAAGGCATAATAAATTATTGCCTTCAACGTGGGTTTCTTCGTCAATTCACAGATATGAGTGCAAAAATGAATTTGTAGTTTCATTTAAAAAAAAAAATTATAGTTGTCAGATGGCTGGGTATTTTATATTAAAAAATCAATATAATTCATTAGGGCAAAGACTAAAGAGTAAAGAGCACGAATTTATATTCTCTCGTTTAACGTCATCTTTGTGATAAACTTAATTAATAAAAAAAACATTTCGAACTATTTAAAATAGACCTGTACTGATGATATCATTCGGCTGATGATTGACACTTGTCCTGCCCTTGAATTAACGAAAAGTAAATGTCCTTGGGCCCTTCAATTTTCCCCAAATCTCGAATGTTTCCATATTGGTTTGTTCAATTTTGTACGGAAATCTTTGTTTAAATAAAAGACAAACTAACTAAGTTTGAATCTCTGCTCCAAGTTTAACTTAAAATAAAAAATTACATATTTAACATTTGGTTAATTATATTATTTTCAGTTTAACTATATTATATATCATCCAAAATTAAGCTAGATTATGTATTTGAATCACACATCTTTCATTTAAAAAAGAATACAAAATTATCCTATTTATCAAAAATTTAATGGTCACTCGTTACCAACCAACACCTAAAAATTGTTCTATATAATCAATGTTAGAGGTGTAGGAATAGAGAAGAAATACCGCTCAAAAGTCTTGGAAGCCAGGACCATATGTGAGGAGTTGAAATCCCTRAATCAACCGGCGAGAAAAAAAAACTCGAGTAGAATCCAATTTCTTTAAAAATGTTTCAAATTCTCAACAATAAAGATATAGTTGTCCTTCATTTGTTGAAGTACTTCATCTAGCTCACAATTTAAGAGAGGATTAGTTTCATCCGTCACTCCTGATATTGCAAACTACATCTGTTTTAAACTTGGATCTAATGAATGATCTCAAAGAGTTTGTGAGATTGTTTACTTAATTGACTCAAGTTGTTACTCAAGTCTGACTAACCTAAATCAAATTGTAATTCCTATAAAGTCATAAACTCGTAAACCAAACACAAACTACACAAATCAAAACATGTTACAAACGGTACAAATTCAGATAGCATTCTAAAAATTGATTTTACAAKATATTTACATATATTTTTGAATTTCATGTTGAAGTTGTAGGAACTAAACAACATGGGGAGCTCGAGAGCCTCGAAAAGCGTATATGCGCACATCTCGTTTGGTTTATGGTTATATAGAACGACTTTTCAGGTGCTTATCGGTTGTCAATCATATTCATATTTATTTCTTACATGCGCTCGTCCTAGGATTTAATAAATATTATCGTACGTTTATTGTAAAATTTTGTCAGACAAATAAATAATGTAGGATTATAAAATTTGAATAATTAATTTCTCGATTAAGAAACACTTTTAATTTCTTGATTAGTATATACAGATTTGGTCCAAATTAATAACAATTTAATTTCTATAATTTAAAATTTGCAACAATTTTTATCTTCGTTGTGAAAAATCTCATCAAATTTAAATGTT